TTTTATTTATTTCATTTTATTATCAGTTGCTCACAGCAAATACATATGTTGTATCCACAAAATATACCAGAGTGTTGGGACAGAAGGATGGGCTAATCAGGATACAGGCTGAAAGACTTCTACTGTATCTTGATAGAGTCTAGGTCCCAAAGGAAGAAGCCTCCTTTAAAAAGGGTGGGATTAAGGAGCAAGCACTGGGCAAAGCTTTCCAGCTTTTACTATACCGTGTGGCAGTCGGGCAGGCTGCGTGGGCGGGCGTTTGGGCCTCCCCCTTAACAAGTTTGCACTTAACAACTCCGAGCTTGTTAAGTGCTCTATTCAGGAGATCCCTACTGGCAAATGTTTCAGAGCAGAAATAAGGAAGATAGAGGGGCCATTTCAGAGAAAGTGACCTAGAATTGTTCTCCCAAGGATGGAAGTAGAAGGTTTCATCTAAGGCAGCTCGTAAGACAAGCCTCTGATTAGCCTCTAAGACGGGATTAGACCTGCCCTTTCAGACCAGCCTCATTTTGTTGGGAATTTTTACATTCACATTCATGTGGGATTTTGCTCTGTGCTTTTGTTGTAGTATCTGTCTGGTTTTAGTCTCAGCATAATGCTGGCCTCATAAAATGAGTTCAGGAGTGCTCCCTTCCCCTGTATTTTGTGGAAGAATTTGTGTGGAAGTGGTATCACTTCTTCCTTAAGTGTCAGGTATAATTTGCCAATAAAGCAGTCTTGGCTTTGAGTTCTCCTTGAGTGAAGGTTTGTAACTACAAATTCAGTTTCTCTAACAGGTGTAACATAGTATATTCTATGACATTAAGGTTATCTTCTTAGGTAAGCTTTGGAATTTGCCTTTCAATGAATTTGTCTATTTTATCTAAATTTCCAAGTGTAATGGCATAAATTGTTCATAATATTTTCTTTTAAATGTCTGTAGGACTGTTTTGTCTTCCTAATGAATTGGTGGCCCCCTTTTCAATCCTATTTTTGGTAATTTGTGTTTGCTATTTTTTTCTTGATTAACCTGCCTAGAAGTTTATCAATTTTATTGGTATGTTAAAAACACTACTTTTGCTTTCATTTTTTTCTCTACTTTTTTTTCTATTTCATTACAGATCTGTCTCCTCATTTCAGTATTTATTTTGCCTTATCTTTATTACTTCCTTCCTCCTACTCACTTTTGTTATACTTTACTCTGTTTTGTTCTCCAGGTTGTCGATTAGATCACTGATTCGGGACCTTTCTTTTCTAACACAACTGTATAATGCTGTAAATTTCCTTCTAAATGCTGCTTTAACTGCAACCAGTAAATTTTTATATATTGTTTTCTTTTTTTTAGGATTTTATTTATTTATTTTTAGAGCGGGAAGGGAGGGAGAAAGAGAGAGAGAGAGAAACATCAGTGTGTGGTTGCTGGGGGCTGTGGCCAGCAACCCAGGTATGTGGCCTGACTGGGAATCGAACCTGTGACACTTGGGTTCTCAGCCCACGCTCAATCCACTGAGCTGTGCCAGCCAGGGCTTATATATTGTGTTTTCATTTATTTAAAAATATTTTCTAATTTGGGGGAAGCCTTCCTCTTTGATCGTTGGTTATTTAGAAGTATGTCATTAAATTTACCAGTACATGTATTAATGTCATTGATACCTAACTTAATTTTGTTCTGGTCATAGTATATTCTTTGTGTAATTCCAGTTATTCTAAATTGGTCAAGGATTATTTCAAGTTTCAGAATATATTCCAGCGTGGTGAATGTACTGAGTGCTCTTGAAAAGAATGTGTGTTCTGTTGTTGGAGTGGAATATTCTGTAAATATCAATTAGATTAGTTCAGTTGATAGTGTTGTTCAGCTCTTCTATGTCCTTACTGATTTTTTTGTTTACTGGGTCTACTAACTGAGAAAGGAGTTTTGAAGTCTGCAGTCATAACTGTGAATCTGTGTATTCTTGCAGCTCTCTTGGTTGTGCTCTGTGTGTCCTGAAGCTCTGACTGTAGGTGCAGTCTCACTTAGGATTGTTGTGTCTTCCTGATTAATTAATTCCTGACTTACTGTGTAATGTCTCTCTTTGCCCCGGCAATATTCCTTGTTCTGATATGAATCTAGCCATGTGTTAGCATGTCATGTCTTTTTTTTTTCACTTTTAACCTATTTATTTGTATTTAAAATAGGCTTCCTTTAGATAGTATTTGATAAGTCTTGCCTTTATATCCACTCTGCCAATCTGTAACTTTTTATTACAATATTTTGGTCATTTACATATAATGTGATTATTGGTAAGATTGGTTTTAAGTCTGGCATTTTGCTAGCTGTTTTCTATTTGCCCTGTCCTTTGTAGTTATTATTATTTTCCTTTTGCTCTCATCTTTATTACTTCCTTCAGTTTCTTTACTTCTGCCCGCTTTTTAATTGAATTTTTATTGTTTTATTTTTACTACTGGATTATTAATTATACCTCTTTAAAAATTTTTAGTGGTTGCTCTAGCATTTACAATTTATGTCTTTATCACATTCTACTTTCAAATAATATTATACTACTATATATACAGTGTAAGAACCTTCCAGTAGCATGCTTCCAGTTCCTCCCTCATTCTTTGTGCTATTGTTGTTGTACATTTTACTCATACATAATTATGTACCCCACATGAGGGAATTTTTTTTTGGTGGTAGAAATGTCTGTATCTTGATTGTGGTAATGATTGCAAGAGTGTGTATATTTTTTAAAACTCAAGACATGTCAGATGTCCAGCCAAGATGGAGGTGTAGATAGATACACTGTTCCTCTTCACCCAACCAACAACAAATTTAAAAATAAAAAATAACCAGAACTGCAAGAAAATTGAACTGTATGGAAGTCCAACAACCAAGGAGTTAAAGAAGAAACATTCATCCAAACCAGTAGGAGGGGCAGAGACAGGCAGCCAGGTAGAGAGGACTCATAGCAAGATGGAGGCTGGCAGAGCAGGCAGTCCCACATTCAGGTGCAGTTAAACCAGGAGGAACAACTAGGGGGCGAGACAGACCAAACAACCCAGGGTTCCAGTGCAGGGAAACCTCGGCTGTAAACATCTGTGGGGGTTGAGGTGGCAGGAGAACCTCTCAGTCTCACAGGAGAGTTGGTTGGAGAGACCCACAGGGTCCTAGAAAGTACACAAAATCACCCACCTGGGAATCAGCACCAGAAGGGCCCAATTTGCTTGTGGGTACTGGAGGAAGTGACAAAGCCAGCTGAGAGCTGAGCAAGCAGCATTGTTCCCTCTTGGACCCTTCCTTGGCATACATCCCCACAATGCAGTGACATGGATAGCCCCACTCTGTTGATTACCTAAGGCTCTGCCCCTTACTACATAACAGGACCACCAAGACAAAGAAATAGGGCCCAAGGGAAAGAACAGATCAAAGCTCCAGAAAAAATAAAACTAAGCAATGAAGAGATAGCCAACCTATCAGATGCAGAGTTCAAAACACTGGTAATCAGGATGCTTACAGAAATGGTACAGTATGGTCACAAATTAGAGGAAAAAGTGAAGGAAAATACAAGTTGTCCATGGCTTATTCTTTCTCCTTCCTTTAGTGAAGGGCTAAGTTCACTTTTCCTGGTAGCTTGAATGTCATTCTCCAAATCTGTCTTCATTCTGTGTACCATTGGTCTAAAGAAAGTTTGAATGGTTAATTTTGAAATGTGATTGTTACTGATCAATGAAAATTCCTAGCCAAGGTCCTCATGGATTTCCTAGGTACCAAAATTCAGTAGTCACTTTCCTTTTTTTCTCTCCCATGCCTGCTGTGTATGACAGTTTTGAACATGCCATTCTTGGTTCTTTCTTCTTTTTGTTCATGTGATATTGTGACTCTGCTTTTTCTACTTCTTGTTCTCTGGTCCCCTTTTCTCAGCCTTTTATAAATAATTCTTCTTCTGCCCATTCCTTAAATGACAGTGTTCCAGAAAGGTCCATCCTTGACTTTGTTTTTGACTTTCTTGTCACCAAATACCACGTACATGCTGAAGGCCAGCAGTCTGTAACCAGCTCAGACCTCTGGCTTATGTCCCTAGTAAGTATACCTCTGTGGCCGCCCTGTGAGCATCCCAAACTCCCACGTCCAGAATTAATTCACTCTCTTCCTTTATTGCAGACCTGCCTCCGCCTCACCGCAGTGTGGGTCATTACTGTCCACCATACTTTTAAGACAGGAACTTGGAACCTCCCTCATTATCCCAACCAGTTAATCAGTTCCTGTTACTTCTTCATTACTTCTCAAATTGATTTTTCTTTGTTGATTCCTAGGGCCCTGTTTTCAGGTCCTCCACATTTCTAAGTGTTCTTGCAAGTCATTCATTCATCTGTCTCCTTCTAATGTATCTTCTCCACTAGTGAATAGTGATGATCCTAAAATGCAGAGCTCACCATTTTATCCCCCTATTTAAAATCCCCCTAAGGCCCCACATTACTTTCGGCAAAAATGCAAGCATATTAGTGTAATATGATAGTGTCTTCTGGGTCTGCCTCTTCTCACGCCTTCCATCCCTATCTTTCAGTCCTTCGCTTGGAGTCTTTGTTCAGCCATGTCCAGCCATTTAACTACCTGGAACTCTCAGAACCTGCCATGTCCTTCTTTCTCACCACTGTGCCTTTTGCACTTTCTGTTCCCTCTACTTGGGGCTGATACCTCTCCCCATGTCTGCCTCCCCTCCACACACACACACACACACCCTTTTCCTCCTTGCCTGGTTGATTCTCTCTTGTTCTTTAGGTTTTCTTTTGAGTCTGTCCTCTTCTGGGAAACATTCCCTGATATCTTCCTCCCACAGGCTAGTCTTTGAGCCTTTCCAACTTCCTCTGCATTCTCATAATATTCTGTGCTTTTCTCTACCCTAGCAGTTCCTGCCCTGTGTTGTAACAGCACAGAAAGTATCCAGTAACAATCTATGGAATAATCTAGTGTACATTCTGAAAATCAACTTGAATTCACAAGCTAATGAATCATCTCACAGTAATCTTCTACTGTGCTCTTGTAGGTGAAGATGCTGGAAGCTGATCTGGTTTCAAAAATGCTACGAGCTGTTCTACAGTCTCATAAGAATGGAATAGCATTGCCTCGGCTCCAAGGAGAGTACAAATCCTTGACTGGAGACTGGATCCCCTTCAAGCAGTTAGGTTACCCTACACTAGAAGCCTATCTGAGAAGTGTGCCAACAGTTGTCAGGATAGAGACCAGTAGATCTGGTGAGGTAAGGAGGTAACCGTGTGCGTCAGAAAAGTCAACCAGTTCTTCATTGCGTGTCTGGCACTTGCAGTCTCATGACTGTGATAGAAGTCAAAGCAAAGAGTGGTTTGGGATTGGTAGCGAGAGAGAGCGCAACATGCGAGCACAGCCCGGATTCTGATTCCTTTGGTTAACGCCTCAGATTCTTTCTGTTGTAAAAATAAGATTCTAACCACATTAAGAAATTTTAAAATTGAGGTTTATGCAGTTTCAACATCCAAATGAAATAACTTTACTGGAGACCTTAACTGCCAAACATCACACCCATCCATTATAAGCCTGCTACAGCTGTTTTCCTCAGGTTGCCGGTGACCTCCTGATCACCAAGCTAACAGACACTCCTAAATTCTCACACTCGACCTCACTCTCCTGATCGGGAGAGTGGTCAAAGGGGAGGTTCACCTAATCTGTAATAATTATTGTGAGGAGCAGGTATAAATTAATTAAATACTGTATTATTAAAACAACTTTCTTCAGCATCCCTCATTCTTCCAGAGAGAGTGAAACCACTTAAGCCGTGCTTTCTGCTTGGCCTCTTATGATACGTCCAGAGTACTGCTTGACACAGTGTTTTCCACTTAGTCCCTTTGTGTCTTTCTCCTTCATAAGTTTCTTGAGGATGAGAGATTGTTTTTCATACCTAATAGCTGGGGCTTAATAAATGTGTTGAATGTACAAATGATGAAATGTCTGAATGAATTAATTAATAATGCTTCATACATTTACTAAGCTATAACTTACTCTTTATTTCCCTATTTTGGACATTTTTAATGTTTCCAGGTCTTGACTATTAGAATAGCCCCTAGTGAATGTATTTGGACATGTAACTTTTCTTCTTTCAAATTATATTCTTGTAACATATTTTTAGGAACAGAAATACTGGCCCAAAGAGTAGGAGCCTGTTCTGGCTTGTTTTTGCTCTCCTGTTCTTGATTTCAGCTTAGAATGAAAGACTTACCTAGCAGATGGGACTTTAGAAATGATCTAGTCCTAGTAGTCTAGGTACTTTTTTAAAATATTTTTTTCAAATATCCTATATGTCACACCAATTTTTTCCAAAAAGGTATAAAGCTGAGCTGCTGTGTTTTAAGCAGGGGTAGAGGGTGCTGGCCGTCCATTTGCCCAGCCTGACCTTCACACCCTTGCCACTGTGAGGCCCCTGAGGCACCTCCATGGAGTCCTAGGGCTCCATTGGCCAGTTTGAAAGCCCCAGATGGAAACCCAGTTTCACAGCTGCAAATCCTGAGATTAGGGAGGTGAACTGATTTGCCCTAAGTCACCCAGCTCCTCTGTGTGGTGGCAAGACCAGGACTGAGTGGTCTTTGCGGGGTAATGCAACACAGCAGCTACGAGTACCTACTTTGGATTCAGAGAGCTGGCCTAGCTGTGTGACTTGGGAGAGTTGCTAACTTCCCTGAGTCTCTGTTCCTCATTATTTAAAATGGAACAAAATGTATCTCACAGATTATGTGAGGTAAACGTGCAGATCACAGGTTTCTTCTGGCTGATTTGTTAATCCCATAGTACCTAGCACATTGTAGATGCTTAATAAGTACCAGGTTAAGGAATAAATGAAATTTTCAATTTAAGCAAAGAAAATTATTCCATGTACTTGGTTTCTCTGTAGAGAATATAGTTTTGCTCTAACATTAGCAAGGAGAGAGAGACGTGAATATTTGCATACAGCTTGGTTTGGGACATGAAAACTCTCTGAGATCCACTTTTAAAAACTGGCCTCTGGGCACTAGTTTGTCTGAGCAACGTTTCTCCTCTCACTTTGCCTCTCATGAACAGATCACCTGTTATGCTGTGGCCTGCTCAGAAACGGCGAGAATCGCTCAGCTAGTGGCTCGTCAGAGGAGTTCTAAAAGGAAAACTGAGCGGCAAGTTAATTGTCAGATGAGAGTAAAGAAAACCATGCCATTTTTTCTGGAAGGTAAGGTCTTCTCATGCGCTAAAAAAATTTAAGCCTATGTATGCATACACTGACATGTGGAATTAATGGAAATATTGCTTGTATTCATGACAAACACTTATAGTTGTTAACATTCATATGTCAAGGGTGAAATCCTGAAGCCAGAACTTCCATTTGAAATTAAGTGAGCATGGTGAGCCTGACTTACTAAATGAGATAATTACTCAGTGCGAAATAACTGAGAGGAGATTTTAATTAAGCTAATGGCAAAATCTGGCTTTATTCTTTTAAGTTCTTTGAGGGAAAGCCTCATCCAGAGTGTTGGATAAACCAAGAACTGTGATTTAATGTCTTATTTTACCAAAGCATTTCTTTTAGTATAAACCCTCTATTTAAAAAACAAACAAACATGAATTATATAGTATACAAAGGTGTTAAATAGGCCACTCAACCTGGGTTTACTGAACTTATAGTCAGTCCTAAAACTGAATTCTAAGAAATAGTTCAGTGGTAATAGGGAAGAATAGATGCCTAAATGCCCCAGCAAGCATTTTAGGTGAGTCAGAATGGCAATGGAGGCCTTTATTTTGAAGAGGAGACTTGAACCCAGACTTCAAGTGCTGGGAAGAGTTTAAATTGATGGAGAAGAGGTGGGAGCACCCAGATATGGTGGAGTGCGCTGCATTCGTAAGAGCATGAGGAGGCTGCCACTGAAATGTTAGTTGGTAAGTAGGGGGAAAGTAGCTGGCTAGTCTAGAAGATGAAACCACATTTCAAAGAACCTCATCGCTAATTACTCACCAATCTAGACCTCCTCCACTGACCAAGCTTCACATGTCCACTTCCTCACGTTCTCACACACTGCTCGGGGAGTGGAGGCCTGCTCTGCACAGAGCGGGAGAGAGCATCTGCTCAGGGGAGTGGCATGATGAAGCTGGGGTTTGGGAAAGCTGATTCATTCCATTCTTTTTATCTGTCTCCACAGGAAAACCAAAAGCAACTCTCAGACAACCAGGATTTTCTTCAGATTTTTCTATCAGCAAAAAGCCTAATCCACCACTGTCAAGAGACAGAGGAAACTCTCTTGGAATTAAGTATGATGTTGAAATGCCGCCTTACACATTGCATGCAAACATTGGAAGTGAAGTGTTCAAAGACGTTCCAGTGCAGAGGCCTGTGACCATGCCTGTCAGCAACAGGTATTTGCACTGTGACTGAAAGGAGAGGGCCAGTGGACCTAGGGCAGTCAGTGTTAAAATGTATGTTCAGGGCAAGGAAGTACTTTCTGTTTTGTCTGACATAAGTTCACATGTAGAAAAATGCATCATTGCTAGTAAGTCCACTTTTCCTGGCTGCATGAATGTCATTCTCTGCATATCTCCATTCTCTATTTTCTCCTCATCTTTGGTATTCTCTCCTTGTGAAATTCACTTTAAAGGCTCTCAAAAATTGTCCCAAGATGCTATTTCAGCATAACTTACAACTTTTTCTAAAGCCCTTTCTTGTGATTAATTTTGGAATCTGGATTATGGGGCCTGGGGAGCGTGCTCCACACCATGACCTGGTATCTCCTGCCTCTCACCTAGTGGCACTAGGTGGCCCACGTAAGAGCCTTCCACCCCTGCAGGTAGCACCAGCAGTGACGTTGTGGGGCCCCAACAGCAGCCTAAACAGTGGACCCAAGTTGGTGCTCTTTAAACTGCAATCTAGCTTCTGCCCCTCCCACGTAGCAGCACCAGGCCCGGGGAAGGGCATTCTGCTCCCATGGGCAGCACTTGCAGAGATCAAGCAGAAGCCCCAGCAGCAACAGGTGAATGTATCACACCAGAATATTACTGTAAGGGCCCTGAAAACTAAACTGTCAGTGGAACCACAGCCTGCAAAAGTGGGCTAGGAGCTATGTGCTAAACCTAAACAAGGTAAATGCTTGCTAAAATAGGACATTTAAATAGGATCCATAGGCTCCAAACATATTTCCTAATGTCCAGTGTACAAAAAACAAACAAAACCACTCATTATACTAAGAATGAGCAAAATGACTACTTAAATAAGAATAGATAATCAACAGACACCAACACCAGGATGCATCTGATGTTAGAATTATTAGATAAGGATTTTAAGGCAGCTGTCATAAAAACGGTTCCATGAGCGATGGCAAGTATTTTTGAAAAAATGGGAAATTCACCAGAGAAATAGAACATAGAAAAAAGAACCAGATGGAAACTATAGTATTGAAGAATACAACACTAAAATTTAAAAAAAAATGCACTGGATGAGCTCAGTAACAGAATGAATATGGCGGAGGAAAGAATCAGTAAACTTGAAGATAGAACAAGAGAAATTAGCAAATGAAACAGCAGAGTAAACAGATGTCAAAAAATCAAACCAAAACAAAACAAAATAATAGCTAGCAAATCCTGAGGGGCCTACAGGGGAAAAACTAGCAGAGTCCTTGGGGACTTACGGGAAAAATAAGAAAGATCTTATGTTTTTATTGTCAGAGTTTCAGAAGGAAAAGAGGGAGTGAGGCTCAAATGAGTATTTGAAGGCACAATGGCCGAAAACATCTGAAATTTGGCTAAGGACGTAAACCTGCAGATTTAAGAAGCTTAGAGAATTACAAATAGGATGAATCTAAAGACAGTCACACCAAGACACCTCATAATTAAACTTCTGAAAACTAAAGACAAAGAAAAAAACTTGAGAACAGCCAGAGAAATGGCAGGTCACCTGTAGGGGAATACCAGTTAATGACAGTGGATTCCTCATCCACAACCATGGAGGAGAAAATGGCATTGTTTCTAGTGCTGAAGGAAAAAAAACCCTCAACCACAAATTCTATATGATTGCATTCACTCCTACAACATTCACTCCTGCTTGCATGTGCCAAGCACTGGGCACAGGGAACACAGGTAATTAAGACATTTGGAGTCTAGTGAGGGAGACAGACATGAACACAAACTAGTTCTGTCTCTGCATGTGGCTTATTTCTTTGTCCTCATATTTGGAAAAATTTTGCCCTATATATATCCAATGTAATTCATATAAAATTATTTTGGTGAGTGTATAAGGTGGGAAATCTATGTTTATTTTTTTCTAAGTACTTGTTCATCCCTTCTCTGGTTTGAAATGCCACTTTCATCACACGCTAAGGTATAATGTAAGTGGAGTGTTTCTAAGCTCTCTACAATTTTACCTATCTGTCCAATTATTCTAAGTATTGGAATTTTAGAATGCATTTCAGTATCTGTTGATGCAAGTCCTTTAGTTTTTAGTTACACTCTAAAATAGTCTCTATGCTCAACTGTTTATTCTTTGCATTTTTTTTAACTTTGTATTGCTTGTTCCTTAAAGGTGATTAATTGGAACTCTGACTTCCAAGTTCTTTTATAGTCCTTGTTTAAATTTAGCTTTTAATACCTTTTCTTTGGGTGAATATGAAACATGAAAACTTAATCAGGTATATTGTTATTTCATGTCATTTTGAAATATTTTATGACTTGTTTTCCTGTTCCATGCCACAGAGACTCTAATGAAAAGTGGAGTGTTTAAAACTTGGTGTTGACTTTATTATTTGAATTTTAATTTACTTTTTTAATTATACTTCAGGTTTAGTCCAAAAGCGTCCTTCCCACCTCCTTTTCAGATGCACCTCTCAAGGACCTGCACTAAGGAAATGAGTGGTATGTTTCTAAACATTGGCTTCGTCGTGCATTTTGGCTTCTAGAGCCTCTGAGCCCCCGGAAAACTCTCTGGGGTGGCTTTTGACCTCTGCTCTCACTTTCTTCTATTTGGAATGTATCTGTCCTCCCTCGTTCCTAGTTTCTTTAAGTTAGGCATTGACGTGATCTAAAGAGGAAATAATACCTTCATGATACCATTAATATTCCGACTTGAGACATTCCTCACGCCAGACCTATTCTGTTTCTATTCCATGGGTCCCCTGCAGAGGTACTCGGGTCTGTTGTCACCCTCTCACTCATTAAGGGTAAGATTGAAAGTATATAAATGTGGGACCTGAACTCATAAAATCATTTCAGATGCTCTGGGCATTTAAGTATGAATATAAATGATTCCTTGGGTTATAAAATCCCAAAGGGGGCTATAAAGGAAACAGAGACAAAATATAAAGTCAAAGAATCTGAAGATTAGAAATACACCCACTCATCATCTGGTCTCCTCCAAGCAAGGTACAAATCCCCTACCTGTAGCCCCACCTGAGGGACAGACACAGTGTTTCCAGAATTACTACTTGTGTTCATGTCATTTAAATGTGCTTGTAAAGGATTTGCTGCTTTAAGTGTGATTCTTACTGAGTTGAAATCATTTTTTTCCCTTAAGAACACATCTACAGTATTTCTTATATAAGTTAATTGAGCAATACAATTTTTGTTTATGTCAATTACTTTAACATATGCATTTTCTGGAACGTGACTACTCAGTATAGTTGTATACCCTTTAGAGGTTGTAAATCATTTTAAATTAGAATAAACTTTTTCTGCAGAACCAAAGGGACCTATTCAGGAGGATTGCAATTCACATGGCAGCTGATATGTGTCTCTTGTTTTCTTAACCCGAGGAATCATTTATATTCATATGTACATGTTAGTGGTCATTTCACACAGTTTAGGTTCCCAGCTTTTAAATGATGGTGTATCTGACTGAAACTATTTAATGAATTTAAATTTTGTATTTATGAATTTTAAATCTTACCCTCTAATGAGTGAGAGGGTGATAAGAGACACGCGTATCCTGTGTGCACACTTACACACAGCCCCTCCCGCCAGCCCAGGTCACTTTATTGATTTAACAAAAGGCACTGGAGCTCTGGTCACTCTGTAGGGCCGCAGAGCAGGTGCACTTGCAAACACTCCAGCTGTTCGTCAGCTGCTGACGCTCTCGCTTTCAGTGCGGTCTGACCAGTTCTGACAAACTCATATTTTTTTCTGGCATTTTTATATCATTATTTGGGAAGAACTTATTAAATAAATTAGTTCTGCCTTTAATAAGCATCTTAGATGGGCATCCTGGGCCCTTTTGTTCACAGAGCCAAAGTAAGTGTCAGCAAAGTGAGGCCTCGCCCTGAGGGGGGCGATGTAGCCCTCCAGCCTCAAGGAGCGGCTCGCCCTTCAGCCTTCTGGCCTCCTTAGAGTCCAGGGTCCTCACACCAGCCTGCGGGTCTATACCAGGCAGCTTAAATTAAATTAAATTACAGTTGTTGAATCCCAGCAGAAATCCTTTGTGATTAAGATATGAATGTATTTTACTTGTAGTTGGTAATTTTAAAAAATGCTCTGTATTCCAATGAAATTTAAAAGAGATTTGGAATGAACTTCATAGTTCTTAAAATACCAGAACTGCCAACTATTGTGAACACTCAAATTTCTTTGTCTTAGGGTGTTGACTCAGGCACTCTAAATTTTAAATAAAAAGTAAATGAGTAAGGGCCAGTCAACACCTTATAAATATTCACTTATGAAAGATAAATACTATGAATTGGGTAAATAAAAACAAATCATTAATAGTTATCAGTGGGCTTCAAACCTTTTATTTATAAACTGTGGCTGGGGTGATTATTGTAAGTGGATCATTTTTTAGCTGTATTGCTAAATTATTTTTCTCATTAATAAAGGGGAAAATTGAGCACATCTTAAAACCTGGATAATTTATTTTTTTAAAGATTTTTTTAAAAAGATTTTATTTATTTATTTTTAGAGAGGGAAGGGAGGGAGAAAGAGAGAGAGAGAGAAACATCAATGTGCGGTTGCTGGGGGCCATGGCCTGCAACCCAGGCATGTGCCCTGACTGGGAATCAAACCTGTGATGCTTTGGTTCTCAGCCCACGATCAATCCACTGAGCTACGCCAGCCAGGGAAACCTGGATAATTTATTTTTTTAATAAAATTGTTAATCTTATTATTAAGGTATTATTATCCTTATGCCTTGTGGAATATAGCTTTAAATTCAGCATTGCATATAAACCATTATTGTCTAAAATTTAACCTTTCTTAGTTGCAGTTAGAAAATGATTGGTTAAATAATGTTGCATTATTCTTTTGAAGCAAGATTATTCTGATGTTTAAATTAAATGAAGTACCCTGAAAACTAAAGGGGCTGGGTTCCCTCTGCGGGCCACCGTTGACCCTGCTGATCGTTCCGTGGCTAAAACTCGGAGTGAGTTTGTCACGGTCCTGCTTTGCCTAGTACCGCTCCCTCTAAATTCCTTGACCCCCACTGGCCTGAAGTCTAACGAAGCCTAAAAACACAATTATTAGGTAATGGGGATAACCTGAATTAAGCATTTTGGTTAATTCTATCTTTTTTTTAATTTAAAGATAATTTAAATCAGACTGTTGAAAAACCAAATGTCATGCCTCCTGCCTCTTACACTTACAAAATGGATGAGGTTCAAAACCGCATAAAGGAGATGCTAACCAAGCATAACAATGGCATTTGGATGTCTAAGCTTCCACATTTTTACAAGGAGTTATACAAAGAAGAACTCAACCAAGGAATCTTACAGCAGTGTGAGCACTGGCCTCATATTTGCACGGTACGTTTCTCCTCATTCCTCCCTCCTGGTGCCTCCTCCGCTTTCAGACTTGGGTTATGAGTCATATCACCTTTTGTCCAGGTGAGAGAATGTCTTTTTGATGTGAAAACTTCAGCCAAAACGAGTGGTTTCCTACTAAATATCCAGGGCTGAAACAACTGACTTTTTTTTTGGGGGGGGTTGCTTTTTTCAGCACTCAAATTCATCTTTGTTGCACACTAATTTTCTGTGCCAGGGCGAGGGTAGAACGTAGAGGGGAACTGTAGTTCACCTTGTACCCCCTGTGTCTCTCAGCTTTGAGTAGGGCTGCGCGGATGCGGTCAGGCCAGGCATTGGGCACGGGCATCTGTGTCCAGGATGCTGAGAACTGCCATCTTACTGACGTCTACTGATGTTTTTCAAAACTCTTTTAGCCTCTTAATATTGTTTTACCAGTTTACTGGTAAACAGTTGCACTTTGGTCATTTTTCCATAGTTTTAAACAGTGACACCATGGTTGTTTTCCTGTGTTCTGATGTCTTCCTTCTTACCTTGCTGGAAAGCAGAAACACTGACAGAATGGCCAGACTGATGCCACTATAACCAAGGTCAGACAGCCTCAAACACAGCACTGAAAATTGAGGACAAGAAGAGAGATGCTTGGTAATGTGTCTAAGTGTAACTGAAGAAGAAATTCAAGTGCATGCCGTGTATTTCTTTCTTTAAAAAACAAAAAACTGCTTCCCCCAGTTACATAAAATATCCTATATTGAAGAGACTGAAAAATAAAGTTATACAAAAGAAAGAATTATCCATTGTCCTATCACCCAAAGATAACCACTTGTAGGGATTTCCATTTGAATAACCGAATGGGCAGCATTCGCTTCAGGGACCAAATAGCAGTCCTGAAATGTTACCTTCATGGAAGTTCTAATCAGCTATGTGCTGTAAGACACTTCGCAAGGATGCCGGATGCCCTTTGTATGCAAGCAGAAAGATGCTTTGAATGTGCTGTTCTTAACCTTTCAGAGCTCTCTGACAACAAAATGTGGACTGAGAGTTGTGAAAGCTAAAGAGAATATCACGTCATATTAACACTGATGCTCCAGTTCCACAGTGTTCTTAGGCAGCTGTGAGACAAGTGGAAATTATGTAGACTCTGACTTGGAGAGGCAGAGCCCGAGATACTGGAATCTGAGGGCTCCGTTGGGTTCTAGGAGAAGGGCAGCAGCACCCGTTGGTGTTGGCTTTCTAAGGAAGTGGAAATAAGCGGCATTGCTGTTTCCTCAGTCTTAAAGGCACAGAAACAATCTATGTAGCCATGCAAGCAGGAACAGGGGTAGGAAGGAGACCAAGGGCTTGAAAGTGTAGTCACGATATCTAATTGGAGTCCAGTTTCTATCCTGATTTTTTCACCAATAAAAAGAAATATGCAATGAAAACAATGCAGTAGTTTTTTAATTTAATTTCAGGGACCATGTGGATAGGAGAAAGATAGAAGGGCATGCTGGCAAAATGAGAATACAGAAGTTGAGGAGTACTATGAGGTGGCCGTTCTGGAACTTGAAATAGAGCAAACACCCAAAGGGCCCTAGAGTGCAGTGAGAGAGTTTGGCCTTTGGAGTTAGATTTTTGCCTCGCCATTCCTTAGCTGCATTACTTTCAGCATGCAAATCCTCCTCTCAGGGCCTCACTCTGCTCGAAAATGTGACTCCTTCTCCCCGTCTCATAGGGTTGTTAGAATTGAATGAGACCAAGTATAAAAAGCAGCTTCCAGTAAAGTATCAGAAACATAACGGTTATTTAGGAAAAGACAGTTATTTTCTGAGGTAGCCCTGCTTGAATTAAAGCAGTTTAAAACCCACTGGTAAAGCAGAGACATGCCCAGCAAGCTCTACAAAGAAAACAGAAAAAACCTGAAGTGAGGAAGGACAAAAGTTTACATTGAAAAAAAGAAAAAGAAAAAGAAGCAGTGAATGAAGTCAAAGGAATTGAAACTCCAAGGTGAGGTGAGTTTCTGCCGTCTTAGAGGAAGAGATCTCATCCCTGCCCACTGCCCACCAAAGGTCACGAGAGCATGCCACCCAGAGACCTTCCTAGCCAAGAATGCACAGCAAAAGCCATGGCTGGCAGTCAAGATCATCCCCTAAAGCTCTATCCACACTGAAGCAGGAGAAGACTCCATGGTTTTCCTGAAGGAACCTGTGAACCAGGGCCTACCCATGGGCCATGCTGAAGGAAAATAACTTTCGGTTTACCTTAATACAAGCAGTTGCACGTAGCACCAGTGAAAAGTCCTTACTAGGCAAAGGGTTGGGAATGAAAGAGTATGAGTGTATATATAGAAATATAGAGAGTGTATAAAACTACTCATCTAAGGTGGTAGAGGAAGTTTTTCTGGGTAGATGGTTTGTAAACAGGAGTTACTCTCTACAAGGAACCTTTACCTTTGACTAAATTTCCATGGAATATGCTGTGAATAGTTATACTCTCTTAAACAAAAACAGCTAAACAATTGTAACCCCTTGTGACTAGCTAGGGCTTAGTATCACTAGCATCAGTAAGCTGCTGCAGAGAGGCTGCACTGTCTCGGTTTGTATGGGGTGGTGACCGTGAAAAGTGGAACTTAGAACTTAATTTAGAGCTTGAACACAAAGACCCCAGCCCAATGTAAATGCAGCTGTGGCTCCATAGACTCATATGGCTGCTTTTGGGAAACTTTCTGTTTTAATTGATCAATACCAATTCTGTCTTGGAATCCCAAAGAAAATTCCAATTTTATAAGAAACAGGCTGAAGTGAACTTCAGCCAGGCTGCAGAGTTAGCAGGTCAGCCTTCATAGACTCAAAGGAATTTGACTTCAAGAACTTTATGTTTACAGCACGGGTAAATTTTAAAGGAAAAAGTTAAGACCTCTCAGAATTAAGGAGAAAAAAGTTCTAGGTGTATAGGAGGAAGACTGCTATTCGTGTGACCATTCAGGGTCCTGAAGCAGTTGACGTTTTAAGTCCTTCAGTCTCACATCTATCAAATCTAATCTGTCTACTCCAAACTTACAGAAACTCAGAGGTATGAGAAGTATCTCATTGAAGTTGTGATTCCCAGTGAGGCAGACATCAAGCTAAATGTAATGAACTTGTGGGAGTAGAAAGCCTAAGGCATATTTGATACCAGAACCTTCTGATGGTCACCTAAGGAGATGGCTTGACCTCCATGCTGTAGGGAGCTCATCTTTGATGTTCTCTGCCGGTGTCTCCTGTTGGGAGGCGGAGGGGAAGTTCCACAGGCAAGTAAACTGACCCACTGAAATTGAGCAGAGGTCGATAGGCAAAGAAGAAGGAAGGTTTTCAGATGGGCCCAGAAGGCTCAGCTGGCTTCAGGTGCGGAGGACTGCCATGTCTCAATCTAAACCTCCGCTGATTACGATTTTATACCACAAGTGGATACCTCACAGAGAACTCTTTTATTTTTAATTTGCTCTCTCAAACCTTCTCTGGATACTCAGTCTGTGTTCTTGTATCTTATTAAGTGTCTTAAAGCACAGTTAAGATTGGCATTTTAACATCCCAGATTTTAAAATATGAGTCTCTAGAGAGATGGATTAACCATTGAAAGCAAAATGAGGAATTTTAATATTTGTGTCCCTAAAGCTTAAAGTTAGGGACACAAGCTGTGACTGTTATTAACATGGCATCCAGAGTGTCACAGGGTGTTGGCAAGAGTCACCAAGGGTGACGGGGAATGCCTGCAGATGCTACACACAGAGTGGCTTCCTGGGCGGTAGGTAATTACCTCTGCTTTCATTGGTGCTTTAGGTTTTTCAGGCAAGGAGTTTTCTTCAGTCCTCAAAAAAAATTTTTTTTAATATTTATTTATTTTCAGAGGGGAATGGGAGGAGAAAGAGAGAGAGAAACATCAATGTATGGTTACCTCTTGCATGCCCCCTGTTAGGGACCTTGCCTGCAACCCAGACATGTGCCCTGACTGGGAATCGAACCAGCAACCCTTTGGTTGCAGGCTGGTGCTCAGTCCACTAAGCCACACCAGCCAGGGCCACTCCTCAAAATTTCAGCAGCACACATTGGCAGAAGAATATAAGGAGGAAAACCTATTGTTTTATACTTATATAAATATTCATCCTCGTGTATTATCTAGAATATACATTTAGACTAAAAGAATATATATTTAGACTATCTTAAATTAACTCTGTTTTTTGACTTAGTAAATCTCTTCTCCAGTAACAAGACAATACCTGCTTTACATATACATATTTATGTTCTCTCTTCCTCATCATTTTATTTTAAAAATGGAGTAAATGTTCTTTACTATCAAGCTACCCACCCAGCATAGCTTAATATTGTATTCTTCCTAGGGAAGAGAGGACTTCTTGCAAGTTTGTCTTATTGCCTTCGTGGTCTGGAATACTCTCCTCGGGGCCTAAACTGCAGCCAGGGAGTAGTGGGCCGAGAGCTACGGTGCTGTCACCGCAGTCTGGCCGCGCCGCTGGCCTCTGCTGTTGCAGGGCACAGCAAGTGAGGGACAGACGAGCATGGCTGCGTCCCAAAACCTTCGCACACACTGAATTCCATATGATTTTCACATCGCAAAGGAATTCTTTTGAATTGTTTCAACCATTTAAAATTCTTAGCTCATGAGTTTTGCAAAAACAAGTGATGAGCTGCATTGGGCTGGAGCCTTTAGGTTGTGACCCCTGGCCCAGTAGGAGAAAAGCTTAGAACCTGGAAAAACGGCGCCATACGTTGGTTTCTCTTCTCCTTTTATGTAGATTCGCCATCATGCTGTACCTCTCAGGAATGTTGTACAGATAAAAGTAGAGACTGGATGACATACAAATGCCAGGCATTTTTAACTCCTGTTTATTGGAGGGGCAACACTTTCAATTGGGGTGCTTGTAGAAACTACCTTGCCTCTGGAGTGTCTTTTTCTAAAGAGTGGAAAGCTGAGGGTTTTCTCAGGCTATTGCAGGGAGAGACAGCACTTCGCTTTCACCTAAATGCTTCCTAACTTTCTTCTTCCCAGTGGTTTATTTCTGACAGTTCTGACACCTCTCCACAGCTTCATTCCACCTGTGTTCAGTCCATTTTGTGGGCTGTCGCTTTGGATTTGGCAGACAGAAGTGAACGAGATACGTGGCATACAGGGCAGAACCACCCCTGATTTCCTAGGCTTGTTGGGGGCCAAGGGCCTCACAAGGGAAATTAATGCTGTTTTGTTTCTGTTTACTTCTGCCATGTGCCTCCTGGTGTTGTTTGCAGGTGAAGGCAAGGCGTTGACGTCTAAGTAATTGAGCAAAAGGTACACTTTTGTGTTCTCTTGATTAGTTGTAAAACAGTGTTGCTCTCAAATGTAAAATGGATTAATGTGTTTTCAGACTGTTTGTAGTCGTTGAATTACCTGCCATTTGCTTTATTTAAAAATTTCAGGTGGAAAAGCCTTCTAGTGGTGGTCAAGATTTGCTGCTTTATCCAGCTCAGAGAAAGCAGCTTTTGCGAAGTGACGTCAACAGTGGAAAGCTTCCTCCATCTCCACTGCCTGCTTCAAAACAAGCACCACCCTTCCCCGGGGGCCCAGCAGCTGTGCCGGGAGACTTTAAAGAGAAAGTTGCGGGGCTGCTGGTGAAATACTCAAGTGGTCTTTGGGCCAGTGCACTTCCAAAAGCATTTGAGGACATGTACAAAGTAAAATTCCCCAAGGATGCTTCGAAAAATCTTGCCTTGCTTTCTGATGTGTGCACCGTAGACTACATTTCTGGAAATCCCCAGAAGGCCATTCTCTATGCTAAACTTCCATTGCCCACTGACAGGATCCTGAAGGATGCAGAGCAAGCACGTGGCGACCATGCTAAGTCTGTGGTTAAACAAGAGTGTTTGCAGGTGGAAAAGAACATTGAGAGCGCTAATCCCACTACAGAGAATGTAACAGTTCCACCATTAATCATTCCAACGGAGGCATCCCCGTCTGTTTTGGTGGTTGAACTGAGCAACACAAATGAAGTGGTTATCAGGCAAGTTTCATTTTCTGAGTTTTTAGGATCCTGTGTACTGTCGTTACTTGCTTGTTCTTCACATGGGTGCTGGGGATTGAGGAAGAATAATATATTCTAAGTTCTATATATAGTTATAATGAAGTATAATAATATATTCTTTTTTCTTCATATTTTGTATATTTTTCTCAACTGCCTGAACTTTTGTTTTGGTACCTCTTAGGGGACTTAATTTTTATTTCATCTACATTATGGTTATATAAGTACAATTGTCTCACCCAGTAGATAGCGAACATCTTGAAATCAAATACTTAAAGTATTCATCTCTGCATATAGTCTTAATATTTGTTAAATGTTCAAAATATACAACTATTCTTGTGAGAAAAGGTTACTCACAGTTTTAAAAATTGGAATGATAATATGGTCTGAAAGCAAATTCCCCACTAGGTAGTTGATACTATTTAATGTGGGAATCTGAGGTGCTAACTAAAAGTCAGAAAAGCTAAGCACCACCTTCCTAGTATAATACATCAGATTAGACCTTGGATTCAAAGGTGCTCTGGGTGTTGAGACTTGAGATATCACTGCCTGGGAGAAGGAATCATCACCTGAGTAGCTAATGATCTCAGGAATTACAGAAAGCAGTCCAGCTCCAGGCACTTGACATGGAGTGCTGGAGAAAATACAGAATACACAGCAAATATTGAAAGACTGTAATTTGCAGTTTCTGACTCGGGATAAAGAATGGGAACTGGTGTAGCTGGACCTCCAGAGGTACCCACTTTAGGGTGTGGCTGTGGCTGGACAGAACGGGAGAAGGCTGAAGCAGAACAGGATCCTTGTGGCTTGGGCTGTTACTCCCCCAGACGATCATGGCTGAGCTGGGAAGGCCCAAAGAAAGGCCGCCCAAAATAAAGTCCTTCAATGAAAGAAGAGAGAAAAAATATCAAAGGTCTTCTATCCGAATAAACTAAGTCTGACTGGATAATGAATCAAGTATCTTGGGATGCTCAGGCTAGAAGAATGGATAGAACATTCAGAGAAGTTTTATGCAGAAGTAGTAACAGCATAAAGCTTTCATTCTAGGATGTGGTGTGGCCTGAAGGTAGAAACAGAGGGCTGAGGGTCAGGGGCCCCACTGTGGTTCACTAATAAATTGAGGTAAAGGACGGGTGTTGAGGGACATACTACTGACTTTTACCATTTAGCATAAAAATAATCTGAGTTTGCCTGTTTGGCAGGATCCTTTGGTATCTGTCACCAACAGCCATGGGTGCCGTTGTCAGAGGCCAAGCACCCAGCACTGGACGGGATCAGTCATGTGGTCGCTGCTGTTCCACCACAGGGGCGGCAGGAATCTGGGTCGGTTCTAGGGCGCCCAGTCTATTCCAGGACTGCTAGGCCCAGTGTCCTCAGAGTAACTAGATCCCCGTTTCCAGTGTAATGTTGCATCCTGGAGTTAGCCTTGCACACTGCAGCAGATGGGCAGTGTCTGCCATTAGGTTGACCCCAGATCACTGGCATCCCCCCCAGCCCTGGAGATGCAGCAGATCCCAGCTGGTCTATACCCACGTAGAGACCTGTTCTGTGCCCACATCTTCACTCAGGCAAGGCGGTAAGCTCTGGAAACTAGGCCTGCGACTCGTAAAGGTTCCGAGAGGTGCTGTAACAGAACCTTCCTGTCAAGTATGGGAATCTCTTGTCTCCAGTCTCAAGAATTAACTTTGTAAAACTTTGTACTTACGGCATACATCCATTCTTTGCCCACTTGCTCAGGTAATTTGGGGACAAAGTATGACTTCATTTTTGCCGCTAACCACTATCATACTGACCGTAACAGCATCCCCCTACTATACCCAGCCTGTGTAGCTGTCTGTCGCTGCTGGTTGCTGCAGAGAGCAGAAGCCGCTTGCCCTTTCTCACGTGGCTTCTCACCCCCTTTCTCCTCCTCAGCTGCAGCCTGTGCGAGGCAGGTGACTCAACCCATGGGCACTGCCTGCCTTCCAGGCTTCTGCCAGCCGAGCTCCCAGGGCTGTAGCAGCGCTGCCAGGGGCCCCATGAGATGCCAGGTCCCAGGAAATGGGCACTTGGGCAGAATCACAGATCTTCTAGGAGACTTTAGAGCCAAGAGTGCAAGCTGCATTCCAGGCAGTACCTTAGCATTTATAAAGCTCAGTAAACATAACTGACGGAGTGTGACAGAGCTTCTGCAGCTGTTTCTGGAGTCAATAACATTGATGTAATCATGGTTTTAAAAGTGGCCATTGCCTCAATGGAGGCATTCTTTCCATTTTGTGTAGTACTTTTGAAAGCTTTTTTTAAATCTGGGAATGAATAGGGTGACTATGGTATCTTCTGCTCTGCTGATAATTATGAAGAATACATGAAAACGCTTTAAAAAAACACTCCTGGAGGGGTAGCATTTTAATGCTCAGTAGGACCACATGGGCCCTTGGTAAAAGCTAGGACAATACAAAGAGCAATGTGCTTTTGGCATACCCCTCATCTCCCTGGCCAGGTGACAGCATGGCCTTCCAGCTAAAAAGCCTTCATCATATGGCTGAGACAGCTCCTGTTACAGGAGCCAAAGTTGATCCACCAGGTTTTACATCCTGGAAGGAGGCCTGACAGAATCGTCTCTGAAGACTGAAGGGCAAAAATACAACAGCCTGTTTGTGGCTGAAAGGAAATAGTATGTTTTGATAACATGAACTGGGACAAGGTAACTGCGTCGTCAAAGCAGAAAATTGTAGGAGTTAGGAACCTGTCCTAAAAAAAGTACTTCTCAGAACGCATACAATTTAAGAGGCATTTTGTTATAACATGTTATCCCTTCTAAGGGTGTCAGAATTCAACATTTTTTTGTAATGTTCAGATTTGTGCATTAAATCAGGGAGGGGTTGCCACGAGGCTGTGTTTAGTGTGTTTCATTTAGGCTCTGTTTTGTCTAGTAAAATGTCACTGGTTTTCAGAGCTTGAGCCTTGTGTAGACCCAGCCTTAGTTAAGGCAAAACTACCAACTAGAATCTCTTCTAGTAATCTGCAAAGCTCCCCAGCAGCAGCCTTAGTCAGAATCTTATGTCCACTCTTGCTAGCTGGCCTGCGCTGGAGTCTCCATTTTCCTTGTCTTCTCTTCCTTTCCCTGGAGTCTTTTCTCAGCCTCCCGAAGACCTCCACCTCCTATAGTGACTCTTGTTCTTTTTTGCGTGAGTGCCACAGTTTTGTATTTTCTTTTGTTGATACACATGTTTGCTAAATACATGCTCTCCTCCCTGTTGATGTGAGAAAGCCTGAGACTGGAACCGAAGGTAGCAGCAGAAAAACAGTAACGTTAATGAATTCTTGCAGATTGCCTCCTGTGTTGCTTCATTTGTGTTCTCTTCCTTTGACTCATTCAGGTATGTGGGTAAAGACTATTCTGGTGCTCAGGAATTAATGGAAGATGAAATGAAGGAGCATTACAGCAAGAACCCTAAGATCGCACCCGTCCAGACTGTGCATGTCGGGCAGCTGCTGGCTGTGAACGCTGAGGAGGACGCTTGGTTACGGGCACAGATCACCTCCACGGAAGGGAACAAAATAAAGGCAAGCACTGTTTACTTTGTCATAGCGCTGTGACGGCAAGTACATACATTTTCAAATGAAAATGCTGCTTCTGATAGTATATCCTAAGGACACAATAAATAAACTATTTAATTTTCTCCAGAAGTTGAAGAGATAACCTATAAAAGGTTATTGCTGTCAGCTTTTGGGTCAGTGGTGGCTATATTATCTCAAACTTTTAATAAAAACAAAACACCAGAAAAAAAATTCTCCTCCATGGAAGTGACCATGTAATCAGGAAGACCCTTTATTCCCATTCCCAGGAAAAATCATAACTGCTGATCAGAGCTCTGTGGGCTTCTGGTCAAGGTCATTACTTCAGAGCAAGGGAAACAATACAGGTCAGAGGAGATGACATTCTTCCTCTGCCCTCCTCTGTGGGCAGCTGGGGGTTCCAAGCAGGACTTGGGACATGCTCTGAGTCTTGCCCTCTCGGTCGCCTTGGAAATGTCAGAGGGCTCTTCCACCAGGCTCCTCCCTCAGCGGGCTCCCAGACGTCAAGACCTGGCCATATTCCCGGTGGCCGGCCCTTTCCCCACTGCCTCTTCCTTCCCTGAGTGCGGGCCTGACAACTAGAACTCTCTCACCCTGAAGTCACAGTCTTGTCTAGGTTTTACAAGCACAAAATACACTTCTATTTCCATGGCCTCTGTTCCATAATATAAAACCTGTTCCTAAAACTTGATGTAATATATGTCAGCTGTAGCTGAAAAACAAAATTTAAAAAATCTAAAAAATTAAAAACTGTTCCTTGCGCCAGTGTCAGCTCCTGGCAAATAATCCCTTTTGTGTTGCTGAGCACAGATACCTCTGCCTGAACCCAGCTCCATCCGTGGGGTGCTCTGCCCTGAAGCCCCCGCCTTCAGACGCGCTGCCAGGAGGTCAGAAAAGGGCACTGCTGCTTCCCGCCCAGTTCGTTTGCTTGTTTGACCAGAGAGGCCCTGACCACCCGGCCCCCGTCTGCCACTCACAGAGAAACTGGGGAATCTCCTTCACCAGATTTACCGATAAAACTTTTAAGCAGTTTGACCTGATTTTTAAAATCTGAAAATGGGCTATTTGTGTGGCCATTAAAAGGTATTCACCTTTCTTAAAAGGTAAATGCTTACCATCTGACCCTGAATATTTACACAAGAGGGGACACAGGCCCACAAAAAGCCGTGCGCACGTGTCCGTGGTGGCTTTGTTAGTAGTAGTGTTAAACTGGGAAACAACCCAAATGCCCACCAACAGGTGAATATAGAAGTAAATTGTGGTTTATGCACGTAATGGAAAACCAGTCAACAATAAAAAGGAATGAGCTGCTTAAAACACAGTCACGTGTGTAGAAACCCACAGGCTGTCAAGTGACAGGAGCCTGACGCAAGAGTTAGACGGAATGAATCCACGCCAGTGAAGTCTGAGAACTCTGGGAAAACTCCTCTGTGGTGACGGGAGTCAGTTCAGTGTTGCCTGGGGCAGGAGTGGGTGCAGGTTAATTGCAGACGAAAAAGAGAGGACTTTGTGGAGCTGCAGACATGGTCTGTTGTCTTGTGATGGTAATTACACGGGTATCTGCATTAGTCAAAGCCCATCAAACTATACTTTAAGTGGGCATTTTTTATTCATTGTAAATTATACTTGGATGAAACATAAAAAAAAATGTGGAAAAAGCTAAGGGCCCAGCTGATAATGACCAGCAGAGGACAGTGCGGTCAGCAGCTTGGGCTCCATCCCAATGCTGCCTGGTAGCAGTGGTGACCCTTGGGCAAGTCGCCCCATCTCCCATCTCTACGAAGTGGGGGCGCTGGACTAAACGATTGGTGGTCTGAGCTCTCGGTCCTCCAAACTCTTAGCTGTCCCTCATCTGTATCTGGGATATTCCTTTTTTAAAAAAAAAAAAAAAACCTCACCTGAAGATATGTTTATTGATCTTAGAGAGAGAGAGAAACATCGATCCATAGGCGCCCCAACTGGGGATCAAACCTGCAGCCTTTTGGTGTACGAGACGATACTCCAACTGACTGAGCCACCAGCCCAGCCACGTCAGGAATGTTCCTCCCTGGGGACCTTGAGTGCGTGAAAACACTGCAGCAGCCGCCCGTGTTTAGTGGCACCGCCTCTGGGAAGGAAGACCACAGAGGGGCCGGCCTATAACACAAGTCTGTGTAGAAGAGTGGGGGTGGGAAGTGCCTGGGAGAGGGTCCCAGATGCAAAGCCAGAGTGGCCCTCAGTGGAAGGTCAGGACCCCAGGAGGAGAGATGGAGCTGGGGGGTGGGGGCGGGGCTTCACACCTCAGAGACCCTAGTGCAGCGAGGAACAGGAAGTCCAGGTGGTCAGAACTCCAGTCGGTGTGACCCTGCCACGCTTTCAGCCTAATGAGAAACCTGAAGGGCCTCTGGTTGGTAGGGCATAACCGCTCCCAAAACGCTCCTAGATAAACGTTTACTTCCTGACCATTTTCCTGCCCTTAGCGAGTTCAACAAAACTTCAGCTGCTTGAAGGCACCGAGATTGCTTATGAAGAGATGAAGTGTACACAAACCCTAGTGACACCTTAACAGGGAAACAGCATTTCAATAAATAATGCAGACTCCACAAGGGTCTCTCCCAGTGTGAAATCTAAAAATGGCAAAATTCACTCGGGCTGCCCTTCCTTCCTCACCTCTGCTATGGGAGTTTAAGCTCTGGAGTCAGCTACAACTGAGTGAGTCTCAGCCCTGCCATTTCTAGCTGTGTGGCCTTGGGAAAGATATTAAACTCTGATTCCTTTCCTGTAAAATCTGATATTCTCATCATGCTTATCTGTCTGATACACCTTTTACAAAAAACTTTTATTGTATTTTTTTCCATTACCATTTAACCCCCTTATGCCCCTGCCTGATACACTTTTCATTCTCCACCCCCCCTCCCACCCCCTCCCCGTTCTGGGCCCAGGGAAAAGACAGACAAGTCCTTGTTCTCCAGAACCCTATATTCTAGTGAAAAAAGACAGATAATGAGGAAGTATACAATAAACAAACACAGCCATTTGAGTGTGGTGAAGGAAGTGACCAGGGTGCTGTGGTAGAAAATAACTCTGAAGAGAGGGACGAGCAGGGAGATGTGATCTGGTTTATTTGATTCAGACATTGTTCCAGCACCTGTGTGGGGTGGATTGAGTAGCGCAAGGAAGGAAAGTAAGACCGGTTAGCTATCACAGCAGCCAGCGAAGTGTAACTTGAATTAGGACAGCATTAGTGGAGATGGAAGTAACAGAATATATTTGGAGGTAAAACTGACAAGACACTAATTCATTGGGCTTGGAGGTACGGAAAGAAGATTCAGGATGGCTGCTGGGTTTGGGACTTGAGTAGGTGGACAGCGATGCTGTTTATTGATTGTGAAGTCTGGGAGAAGAACCAGTACATAGGAGAATCAAGAATTTTGTAGGTCCTGTTAGGCTTGGAAGTAGCTACCAGATTTCACAAGGATGGATTTGGGACTCCGACAGCAGTCAGCATGGAGATAGATCCGGTCGGGAGGCTCCGGCCTCGAGGAGCTACTTGACGCCGTGGCACTGGGTAAGATCATCTAGAGAAAGAACACCTACCCATAGAGAAGAGGAGGGGATCCAGAACCAGGCCCTGGAACATGTCAGCGTTTGGGTGATGGCCATGAGAGGAGAAAAGAAGACTAAAAATGGCAAAGCAGAAGGAAAACCAAGAGGGCCAGTGTCAGGGGCACCTTCCAAAGGAGGGAGCAACCAGCTGTTGCACTCTGCCGAGAGCTGTGAGCTGGAATAAAAAAGGGTGGCTTGGTATATTGTACAGTTTTAAGGTCTGCAGCAGTAGTGACAGCAATTCTCATCTGATCTTGTTCACCACACCAGACGAGCCTGACTGGGGAACAGGCTCGACAGAACCTGACAGAGACAACTTTTTTCTTTTGTCTGGAGAAACCCCGCTACTTATCAAGTCTTGTTTCTCTTGAACAGTACTATGCCTGAGAGCAAGTACTAATTACCTCCTTGCTTTTTGTAGACCTCGGGGTGAGTAACAAGAATATGCAGTCACCTCCTGAGGTTGGTGCCAGTTTGGCCTGACCTAGACCCACGTCTGGGTGTGTCTGCTGGTTGATATTCAGGTGGCTTTGAGATCTTTGGCCACTTGATGGTGCCAGAGAACCAGGAATGCACTGCGGCCCCATGGCAGGATTTTGAGCCTGTTTGTGCTGGTCCCCAGTGCATTAGAGAAACACTACAGGGCAGAGGACACAGGGCAGTGTGGAAAGTCAAGCTGGCCAATCTATGGGCAGATGCTTTATAAATGTCATCTGCCATACAAATATATACTATTGTTATTCAAAAAAGGAAGGAAGGAAGGAGGGAAGGGAGGGAGGGAGGGAGGGAAAACAAGCTCTAAACACAGGAACCCTTTGAAGATTATAGGGCAGTTATTCTTTAGTCTATCGGTGCTGGGAATATATTCTGCATTTCCCAGGAATCATGACTTCACACACTATATCCTATTGTCAGGCTGTGTGGTCTCCACTTGAGGTCTGGGAAGGACAGAATCCAAGTTGTGGGTGGTGGTAGCCATGAAAGGAAACAACGGCTGCCTGAACCCTGAGGCCTGTGGGCAAGAAGCTCGGGTGCTGCTGAGATTGGAGGGCTGGACCTATCCATGTAAATGGCTGGCTGCCTGGAGGGGGAACCTGCCGAGATCTAGACGTAAGGGAGCACTGAGTGAACACATGGGCTCAGAGACCATCTTTTCCAATGTGCAGTGTGCGCGCCCCACAGATGCAGTAATCAGGCGGTCAGGGAAAGGCCTCGGTGGTCTCTCTGTTCTTACTTTCCTTAGACTCTCTGCAGAAGATAATTTTTGTTTTGTGCGTTTAGTGCCCTAATCTAGGTATGAACTTTGCTGCAGAAAGTAAAACTCTCTCTTAGTCTTTCTTTGCCCTGGATTTGTTTTATTTTGTTTTTGTAATAACAGTCATCCACTTTAACTGGAGAAGCATGGGAGATTTTTAACACTTTCCCTCAGATTCTTAGTTACCATTCTAAACCACAGCTTAATGTTTCTAGATTTTTTTAATCTAAAAAAGTCGTTGTAGAATCCCTTTCAACTGGAGGTTTTACTAATACTCTAAAAATAACATCCAGATACCTACTGATCTGTGCTAATCGTGAGGAAGTGTCTGTTGTACAGGTTTCTGCAAACACAGGACTCTGTCAGGTAGATTTGGGCTTTTGCTGAGCTGGATGAAGGCCTAACCCAGCCTCACACCCTGGAAAAAAGCAAACAAACACGTATCTGTTCTTACAGTGTAGAGTTCAGGGTTATCCAGCCATGACATCATTGTTGTCAGCGACAGAAAGCATCTGGGTCCCTGGAAGCGTTCTAGCCCAGAACTGCCACCATGAATGCTGCCTTGGGAATTTAGAATCTGGGAGTCACCAGAGTGACTCTAGAAATAAATACAGATCCTTAGTGGAAGTGTGCAAATCAAGAAGGAATAAGGTGAGGCAAGCGTTATGATGTGAGCGAAAGGGTGGGGCAGTCATAGCTGCAGGAGCAGATGGGTATGTTGCTGAGGAGCTGGCGACAGCAGAGCATCAGAGCTCAGTGGATGTCCCTTTGCCCCCCATTGGAAAGGCGCAGTGGAGGAGTGTGACCTGGGAGGCAGGAGCCTTGGCCCCTGGTCTCAGCCCCAGCCACTCTCTTCTGGGCTGAGAGAGGGCACCTCTCCCGGCATTTCCCGGGTAGCATGGTGCCAGTTAAATGGTGACTGTGTAATAAAATGGAAGCAGTTACGTGTAACAAGTGATCCCTTAAGAAGTGAGGATAAACAATTTTACTTGAACCTAAGTGTTGTTTTTGTTGTCATTAGGTATGCTATGTTGACTATGGATTTAGTGAAAATGTTGAAAAGAGCAAAGCATACAAATTGAACCCGAAGTTCTGTTCACTCTCGTTCCAAGCTACAAAGTGTAAGCTAGCAGGTAAGAGGAACCTTTTTGAAAACTCGTTCCATTTTGATTCTTTTATACTTTCTGGTTAAACCCTAAAAAGTGTACTATGTATTTCAAAGGATTATAATGTAGTATTTCTTGAAAGGTATAAATAAATTCATGTCCAATATCGTCTTTATAAGGTGTGATTATTATAAAATTTTTACAGTGTTTTATTACATTTTTGTTATATATAACTGTTGCGCGTGGGTCACCGGCTAGCAGTGACCACGGCACACTGTGGATGGCTCGACAATACGCGAGAAAAAATACACATGCACAGAGACAAACCAGTTTCTGTGGGGAAGTAGGGACAGAATGGCCACCCCCCCTAGTGGGGAGCGCGCTGATTTACCGTCCATACCTGCTTTTATTAGGCTCATTTTGCATAATAACTCAGGTAACGTACAATACTCATTAGGGGGAAGTAAGGAATATAGGAAACAAAGAACTCTGCCGGTCTATTGAGTTGGGGGGTCAAAGAGCTGTAAGGCTGAGGAACAAACTAGCTTCCTCCTAAGACCCTCCTCATTCAACTGAGAGCATTCTTGAACAAAGAAGGTTTCACAGTAATTTACATGTTCTTTCTTAGGCCTGATCACCCCGGGAAATCCGCACTTCCCAGTACCGAACTGTACTTCCCCGTCATTGTTTCAGGCTTAGGTGGAGCACGGGAACTAAGGCCACCGAGAGATAAGGAGATTTTCTTCCGGACGCTGAGAACTCAGACTTTGTCAAAGCCGAGGAGTGAGGGTCCATCACCCCCCTTTTGCTGCAGCCCCCCCCCCAAGTCCTTCTTTTGGGGGGGCCTCCCAAAGTGATCGTGCCTGGCTTGGGTTGTTCCCCCGTGGGGAATCTTACCCGTCTTTGGCTAACCGACCAAGCTTTTTGGGGGGTTCAGTTATGAACAAAGCAGCAGAAACAGCATTCCTGCCAGGAAGATAAGCTTTTGTCTCCTTGCCGGCTCACGGTTCCAAGGGCGTTCCCTTAGCCTTAGCCTAGGCGGGGGTCTCAGTTTCTGATACCAGTCAGGGCGGTTCCCAACATATAACATTTATTTTTTTATAAAAAGTCTATTGGCCATCTGAAAGGGTCTTTTTGTTGTAGTTCTAACTGCCCTAGTAACTAGTGCTGGAGGCCACGCGGCAGGGAATTTGCTCAGTTTAAATCTTGTTGTTCAGTCTGTTTTGAAGTGACTCCCGGCTTTATTGTCAGTGAGATGGACTCTGTGGGTGCTGCTCATTACCAAGTAACATACCCTCGTGCGCCAAACGCGAGTTCGGCTCTAGGTCACATGCAGTCCCTGGCACAGTTGGTGTATCCCTGTCCTCTTCTTCCTCCTCAAGAACACGTAGAGGAACGCACATGTGTGAGAGAGACGCTGCAGGGATGACCTGAATGTGTGGGGGCTGCAGTGGCCCTGCCGATGGTGAAGAGAGACCTTGAAATATGTGTGCATCATGCCAAGAGGGCCTGAGCTAAATTCAGAAAATGACCAAAATTCTCTCCTAAAAGTTAGCCCCGTCCAGGACATAAACAAACCCACCCACATGGAATCAGCACCAGAAGGGCCCAGTTGGCTTGGGGGAAGCAGGGGAAGTGACTGAAATCTGGCAGAGAGCAGAGCAAATGCCATTGTTACCTCTCAGACCCCTGCCCCACAAACAGTGTCAACAACCCAGCAACTGGGTTGCCCTGCCCTGGTGAACACCGCCAAGGCTCCTCCCCTCACTAGTAACAGATACATCAAGACAAAAAAAAAATGGCCCAAATGAAAGAACAGATCAAAGATCCAGAAAAAATACAATTAAGTGATGAAGAGATAGCCTATCAGACGCATAGTTCAAAACACTGGTAATCAGGATGCTCACAGAATTGGTTGAATTTGGTCACAAATTAGATGAAAAAATGAAGGCTACACTAAGTGAAATAAAGGAAAATGTACAGGGAACCAATAGTGATGGGAAGGAAACTGGGTAAATCAATGGAGTGGGCCAGAAGGAAGAAAGAAACATCCAATCAAAAAAGAATGAAGAAACAAGAATTCAGAAAAATGAAGAGAGGCTTAGGAACCTCCAGGACATCTTTAAACATTCCAACATCTGAATTATAGGGGTACCAAAAGGAGAAGAGGAAGAGCAACAAGTGGAAAACTTATTTGAACAAATAATAAAGGAGAACTTACCCAATCTGGCAAAGGAAATAGACTTCCAGGAAGTCCAGGAAGCTCAGAGAGTCTCAAAGAAGTTGGACCCAAGGAGGAACACACCAAGGCACATCATATTACATTACCCAAGATTAAATGAAGGAGAGAATCCTAGAAGCAGCAAGAGATAAGGAGGCAGTTACCTGTAAGGGAGTTCCCATCAGACTGTCAGCTGATTTCTCAAAAGAGACTTCACAGGCAAGAAGGGGCTGGAAAGAAGTATTCCAAGTCATCAAAGGCAAAGACCTACATCCAAGATTACTCTATCCAGCAAAGCTTTCATTTAGAGTGGAAGGGCAGATAAAGCGCTTCTCTGGTAAGGTCAAGTTAAAGGAGTACATCACTAAGCCCTTATTATATGAAATGTTAAAGGGACTTATCTAAGAAAAAGAAGATAAAAAACATGTATGGTAAAATGACAGCAAATTCACAATTATTAACAACCACACTTAAAGCAAAACCAAAAACAAACTAAGCAAACAACTAGAACAGGAACAGAACCATAGAAATGGAGATCACATGGAAGGTTAGCAACAGGGGAGTGGGAGGAGGAGAGAGGGGGAAAAGGTATAGAGAATAAGTAGCATAGACGGTAGGTAGAAAATAGACAGGGGGAGGGCAAGAATAATATGGGAAATGTAGAAGCTAGAGAACTTATGACACATGGACATGAACTACAGGGGGGAATGTGGGTGGGAGGGTATGTGCAAGGTGGAGGGGAGTGAAGGGGGCGAAATGGGACAACTGTAATAGCATAATCAATAAAATATATTTTAAAAAATAAAGAAGTTAAAAAAAGTTAGCCCCGTGAAGAGATCCCTCCTTCTCAGCAAGGGTAAATCTTTATGACCGAGGAGCTGGGTTTGGCTGTATCTGTGAGATAAACCTCAGGTTATTTTGAAAGCCTGTTACAGACTGGTGAGAGTTAGTTCTGAAAAGAACGTATCAAGAGCATAGGACAAGATTTAAGGTGCTGGAATGGAAGGTTTGATAGCAGCAATAAAGTTGCGTGTCTAGAGGACAAAGCAAGAACAAGAGACAGGTAGCTTGGAGGGAGCCTGTGAACTTTTGCTTATGGACTTAAAGGGGATAGATACAGAAATGGATGCTGGGGAAACATGAGCTTGTTTTAACTAGTTTAATAGATTAACCTAAAGTTGTCATATATAGGATACATAAAATTACAATTTTCAAAGAATTTAAAGAGTAATTAGACCAAAATAAAATTCACTTATATCCATATTATGTTAAACTTTCTATGATAAGTCAGAAAAATTTGAGGCTCTTTAGGGCCATCATTGTGGTATACTCGAGAAAAGGAAGAAGAAAGGAAAGAAAGAATAAAGGATGGTTGTCTAAATTTCCACTAAATTCATGTTCATTTTATATGAAAGAAGTTAGTGTGTATATTTAATTAGAAAATGAAAAAAGTCAAGGGTATATTTTTAGGAAGAACATTCCAGAGACATACCTGGCAGACACAGTTGATTGATAGCTTCTTTCACATATTAGACTTTTGTTTTAAGTACGTGTTTGTATGCAAAGTGAAGGCTGTGTCTCCTAAGGAAGAAATTCTGATTGATCATCAGTTCTTCTTTTTGCTTTAAATTGCCTGTCTTAGTGTGATCATTCAAAAAGGCATTCATGTTTATATACATTATAAAATAAATATCTTAAAACCTAAGGGTGGGTTATGTAAAGGAGATAATAAAACAAAGCTTCCCTATAAAATTTAAGAATTTTGTAATAGATTCATAATTATAATAAGTAGCCATCACAAACACAATCAATCTATCCATCTTAAAGTGATTCTGCGGATTAAGTAGAAATTAAAATATTCAATATTTTTCAGGGTTGGAAGCTCTAAGTGATGATCCTGGTTTAGTGAAGGTGGTTGAATCTTTGACTTGTGGAAAGATCTTTGCAGTGGAAATCCTTGAAAAAGCTGATGTTCCACTTGTTGTTCTGTATGATACCTCAGGAGAAGATGATATCAATGTCAATGCCACCTGCCTAAAGGCCATATGTGACAAGTCACTAGAGGTTCACCTTCAGGTACCACTGTGACCGCTGTTGTCATCTGTTACACACATCAAAGCAAAGGAAGTTATCAGAAAAGAATGGTACAAATTTTAGGCTAACACTAGACAGAGACAGATTATGCCTGTATTGAGAAAAGGGGGAAGGGAGACTGGAAGTGGGGGAAATGCCAAAACCTGAATAGTAAGTATTAGGGACTGGATTTTTATTTTATTTTCCAGTTTCTACAATAAGCATGTATTAATTTCACATGAAATTACTGTGCAAAGATAATACAAGATGATGTTACAAAAGAAGGGAAGTTAGATTAATGAAGATGTTTATTAAATTATTAGCTCTAACATTTTTAAAATGTGAAAACATACATGTCTGCAAAGAAAACTTAAACAAATTATAGAACAGCCAATCTAAATAATAGGATGAGATGTTAAAAATGAGCCTTTTAGAGGTTTCATAGCAACATTAGGAAAATATTTGTTTTAATAAGTAGAACAACAGTAAGTTATTTTTATATTATGATTTGACTAAAGATAGCTAAAATTAAACCTTTACTATAATTAAAACTTTTTTAAAATTTCTAAAATTCATATGAACTATGGGTACAGATTAAAAAGTAGGCTGATAGTGGAATTGATTTGGTGAGAGTTTCTTATTTTCATTTCCGTTAAGGTTGCAAAAATATGTTTTATCTAATAGTTTTTTTCCCCCTAAATTAATGGGGAGAAAATAAAGTCACAGGCAATCTCAGCTTCTCAGACCATGGAAGTGTTGATAAGTTAATGTATGCAAAAAGTCTACTTTGTGCCCGACACAAATGATATCAGATATTCCTTTTGGAAAGAGTGGTATCTAAATTAGTTTTTCACATTTAAGGTATGAAATTCATTCTATCATACCTATCCTCCAACTTAGAAGATTTTGAAATGCAAAGACTTTCAATGAGGTATTTAGGTATGCACCCCTATGCTCTGTTCTCAAGCCTCCCATGTGTCCTTTGTTCGTTCCAGGTTGACGCTATGTACACCAATGTCAGGGTGACTAATATCTGCTCTGATGGCACCCTCTACTGCCAGGTGCCTTGTAAGGGTCTGAACAAGCTCAATGACGTGCTGCACAAGATAGAGGACTACTTCCGTTGTAAGGTATGGCAGAGCATCATCTACCTCTACACTTAGTCCCAAAACTGCAGATAAGAGTGGTCGCTAAATTTGTCTAGGTATGAATAACTTTTGAAAAGTTTGAGGTAGACCTTCTAGAATAGTGGGTGAGAGCCACAGACTGCATACTTTCAAACAAAACACACCAACCCCCCACCCTCACCACTGGTTTCTGCACTGTAAAACAAGGGTAGCCGTAGTGTGTACCCATAGGAGTGTCGTGAGAACAAGTTGCAAGCCTGCTTAATTCACACAGTGCCTGGTGTGTAGTAAGTGCTCAACAACTGATGGGTGTGTCACTGACAAGGTGCAGGTGATGGTCCTTCAGTGCGGCTGCCTGGCTCTCCATCTGCTAGAGCCAGCCGGCTCCTCTGCTTTGGACAAAGATGAAACTATGGGATTCAGGAGAATAAAACTTCTAAGGCATCACTCCCAAGTTCTCTAGGATCTTTGAGAAGCCGCCACCTCAGTAAATGAGGGTCTGCAGTTTAAATTGATTAAGAAGCTCCTTACCCTTTCAATCTAGTATTCTTTTCTGAATCGGGATATGGAGAGGTTTTATTTTAAGGTTCCAAGGTTATTTCCTTAGCTCCATTAGGACATCATAGTCATGATCCACAGTATGCTGTGGTTTCCGAGTGACTAAACTCCAATGCCACTTCACCCCTGACCCCCTCGTCCTGGAAGTGACCCCTTGCCTCTAACCTGCCAAGCACAGTGAGGGCCTTGTGGCACTTATGAAATACCGTATTTTAGCTATTTGGGTATTTGGTTGTCTTACTAGAATGTAGGCTTCCTGGGGGCAGAGACTGAACTTTACTGGTAAGCACCTAATCCATTTAGGTACTGTAGTGCCTAATCTAGTGTCTTGCATAGAATAGGTATTTCAAAGCTTTTGCTGACTCAGGTGAAGCCCGTATTCAGACTACAGCATAGAATTCAGGCATTAGACCTACAGCTTTACCACTTTGTATGTTATAGACATTTTAGATGTATGTCAAGGTCATTACTTAGGTTGAATTTGCTAGTCTATAGATCTGAGACACCCAGAGAGGCTGACTCCAATGACTCACTTGCATGTATGTGCTCATAACCTGTGGCAGCGAAGGGCGCTCTTGATAGTCCCTAGTGCTCTTGTAACCCAAGTGGAGACATTACCTGTGGGGAAGGACACATTCACACTGGCAGAAAGAGACCACGGCAGGGCCCCAGCAGCAGGTTGCGGCAGCAGAGGAGGATGAGGAGACCTACAGCCATGATGTGTTGCCATTTCACTGGCCCTGACATCCACATTTGTGTTGGTGACATTTCTTTTGTTTGGAGTTAAAATCCCATCTTTGAATCTAAATCTTCAAAGATTCCAAAAAGAGACCTATTGACAGCTAGCCCAGCCTCCTCATTTCTCATCCACGCTGTTCTCCTCTTTGTCAGATTCATCCTCCCTCTTCGTGGTTAACTGACGGCGCCAGAGCCCGGATGAGTCACACTGATGTCCAGGCTAACATTTTTAGACATTTCAACAGGGGTGATTTATGAGCCATGTGCAAGGAGGGAGCATAGATCACTGCCGTCAGCAGATGCAGAGAAAGAGTGCAGGAGTTCTCCAAGCCCCAGGCATGCGCCGCGTCCCCTGACTGCATGTGGGTGAGGCAGCCGGCCTGGGCCTCACAGATGTTTTTCTAGTGGTGTGGCAACGTGCTCTTCGCTAAGAGTAATAAAAGTGTCATGAATTCTGTTTTGCAGCACATGACCTCAGAGTACTTCGTTTCCTTACCCTTCTGTGGGAAGATCTGCCTCATACATTGCAAAGGAAAATGGTTACGAGTAGAGGTAAAATCAGTCACTTGACTTTTTTCCAATTATTTTATTTATTTATTCTTTAGAGACAGGGGAAGAGAGGGAGGAAGAGAGGGAGAGAAACATTGATGCGAGAGAGAAACATCAATCAGTGGCTTCTTGCATGCTCCCTGAGCAGGAACCAAACCCACAGCCCAGGCATGTGTCCTACTGGGAATTGACCGGCAACCCTCCGCCCTGCAGTTCGACTCCCAAATAACAGAGCCACACTGGTCAGGGTGACTTTTTTTAACTTATTATGAAATATTTCAGACATACAAACAGTTTTTTTAAATGGAAAAAGCAGTTTGAGAAATAGAGTCTGACTGACACAGCCAGTGCTCTCCGTGCATCCCGCCCCTGGGGGAGCTGCCAGCTGGATTTGGTGTTTCTCGTTCCTGTCATTCCTTTACGCTTTCACTGTGTCTGTGGCTGCACACACACCTTCACTGTCTGTGTATTTTCATGTGCAGGTAGTAGAAATGCAGACATGCATATGTATATAAAACATTTACAGTAAAAATAAGTGAATAAGGTATAACTAAATGAATAAATGTTTTAAATATATGTATAAATAGTAAAATGTGGTGGTTCTTCTGGGGCATGCTTTTCATTCTTTACGTTTGTAAGTTTCATCCATGTCAGCACGTGCAGCTTCAGTTTATTTGTTTTCTTGCTGTGTGATGTGACAGCGCACGACTGTGCCGACATCATCACCGCACTCTCCCGACTGTGGGTATTTAGATTGTTTCCTACTTTCTGTTGTAAACAACATTACCGTTACCATGGCCCTTCCTGTGCATGTCCCCCCAGGGTACATCTGTAGGAATGGAATTTTTGGCCACAGGAAATACGTATCTTCAACTTCAACCTCACTATCTTCACCTTCACTAGATATTGCCTTAATGTCTCTAGAAAGTCACCCTTCCACAGAAGCTGTAGCCCTGTGAGAGTTGCAGCTTCTTTCGGGGAGTCTCAGATCCTCTGTCCCTCCCGCCCAGGTTGGCTTTGGCTTCAATGTTCCATACGCTCCTATTTCCAGTCCCTGGTCACTGTCTTTCTTTCTTGCAAGCTCAGTTATGAATTTGAAAGGTTGGTTATATTTTATCATATATTTCTCTCTAAAATTTTTATTGATTAATTTAGAGAGAGAGAAACATCGATTTGTTGTTCCACTTATTTATGCATTCATTGGTTGATTCTTATATGTGCCCTGACTTGGGAATTGAACCCTTAGCCTTGGCGTATCAGGACAATGCTCTAACCAACTGAGCTGCCCAGGCAGGGCCTGTCATATATTTCTATATATTTTTCAAATATGAGTTTTTAATTTTTGTTTTTACCTTTCCTTCCTTCCTCTCTTCTCTTCTCCTTCCTTCCTTTCTCCTCCCTCCCTCACTTCCTCCCTCCCTCCTCTCTCTCTCTTTCTCTCTCTCTCTCTTCAATATCTAGTTTGCCCAATAGCTAAAGTTGCAAATTTGGGCCTGATTTTATTTTACTTTTGTTTTTCCTATGGAAAAACAGAAAATTATGGAGAGTGTCCATAATTTTCATAAGATTCTCAAAGAAACCACCACTAAGAAGGTAAGAACCATTGCTTTATTGACTTTTTAATATTGTATAGCAGCATTTGAGAACTTAATTATACTGATTTTCTTTTTATTTAAATGAAACTTGGTCATGTCTACTTTAATGAAAGCACCAATTTTCAAGTAATTATCGTCATTAACCTGAATGTATGTCAGAAGGCTGAAATCCAGGGTTATATGAACAAGGGTTTTGTGTTTAGATATAAATTTCAAAAACATGGCTTGTTAAAAAGAACACGGCATTATTTGAATTTGAAAGCTCTGTGATGTTTAGTGTATGTTGTGGAAATACACAAATACTTAATTTTTCAAACTTCTATTTTGGAATAATTTCAGACTTTCAGAGAGTTGCAAAAATAATTTAGAGTTTCTAAATGTCCCTTACTGACCATCTCCAAATGTTACTATCTTACATAAGCATTACCAAAAGCAGAAAATTAACATCAATAAATTATTGTTAACTAATCTTCAGAACTTACTGACATTTCCCAGATGGTCTTTCAGTGTCCTTTTTCTGGTCCCGGGTCCCAAGTTGTGTTTAGTTGTCCTGTCTTCTTGGTTTTCTCCAGCCTGGCACTTGCTCCTTCTTTGTTGTCCGTGGCCCTTTAAAGAATAGTGGTGTTTTTTAGGGTATCCCTCAACTCGAATTTCTTCATGTGTGGAACCAGGCTATGGCATTTTGGCAAAAATACCTTTCCGCAAATGCCCAAATGTTTAGATAAATATCTAGTGATATTTTTATTACTATCAAATTGTGTATTGTCTACCTTTGAGATAGCAAAAGTGTTCATTCTTTTAGAGATACATAGAAGTTAAGGAAAAATAGTTCATTAAAAGCAGATCCTGTGCTTAAATGATGTGTTTGTTCTTGACGTGTCTATGCTTTATGTAGTAACTGTATCTTTTGAACTCACTTCATCCACCCCCCAGCTCTGTTCTGTAGCCGTTCCCTCCCTGCCACCACTCTTCCTGCAAACATGTCCTGTGTGGGCTGCGTTCACTCTCCACACCACCTTGCAGGTGGTCTCTGCCGCTGCTGTTTGCCATCTGCCTGCTCTGCATCGGGGAGGCTGTTCTTGTAGCAGCACCTGAGCTGCACAGTCCGACCGCTGTCTGCCAGCTCCCATTTTACCAGGCCTCTCTGCTGCACCTACCAGTGTGGAAGCGTGAGATTCCCTTCTCACTGGGCTGCCGTGTTGTCTAATCCTCCTGATTTTCCTCATGATGTTCTAATGCTTTTTTCTCTTATTTTTTACCCCCCACCCCACCCCTGTGGCCAAAGTGTCGGCGTCCCCAGGTTCTGTCCCAGCTCGCCATTCTTTTCAGCCTCTGCATCCTTCTAGGCAATTCCATCTCATAGCTGCAGTTATTATCTGGGTCCTAATGTCTCCTAAATTAGTTTGCAGCCCTGGTGAGCTTCAGATTTGGGCAAAAAGCCAGCCTAACTGTCCATCTCACAAAATCCTCAAGCTCTACGTGTCCGAAACCAAAATTACCTTTCTTCATTTTTGACTTCCTTTTACGTCCGTATTTTGGTGGTACCTCCATTCAGCTAGCCATCCAGGCTGTTGCTGCAGAGATATCTGTGACTCATGTATCTTCCTTAGTCCTTGGCGCAAGTAACCACCAAACTCTGTCAGTTTTATAGCTTTGTAATTTCGCACCTAGATCACTGCAATACTGTGCCCACTGGTTCCTCCGCCTTTACTCTGTCCTCCAGTCGAGCTCCATACCACTAGAATGAGCAACCCAAAATGCAAATAATAACTTGTAATAGTGTGTCCAACATTTAATAAGGCTTACTATTTCCTAGACACTAAATGTTGTTTTTTTTAGACATGACTGATCTAATGTAATCTTCACAAAACCCCATTATCCCCATTCTTACCGATGAAGAAAGAACCTCAGGGAAGAAGTAGGAGAGCTGAGGTTTGAAACTGAATCCACCTGATGGTGAAGCCCTCATTCAGTCTTACCACCAGCAGTGCACGGCTTCTTCTGGAGTCGCCATCTCATTCTTCTGCTCAGGACTTGACAGTGGCTTCTTCTCCTCTGCAAGGTCGAGTCTGAGTTCTTTTAAGGACTCAGCAGTGTCTGGCTCTCCAAGGCCTCGCCTTTGCCTCTCACTTTATCTTCCAACCTAACCAAGATGCTTGCAGACCCCGCACGTGAGAAAAGCCTGCATGTCTCTGCCCACCCTCCCCACGCTGTTTGAGGTGTCCAGATTGTTCCCTAACTATATGTCTTCCCACCTGGTTTGCTCCCATTCACAATTTAAGGTCCAGCTCTGAAAGGACATGCATTTATGAAAATTATGAAATTCCAGTTTGTGAGAAAGGAAATACAAATATCCAATAAATACAGTTATTTCTTAAAGGAACAAATGTTTACACAATTTAAATTATCCAGCCAAAAGTTTCATTAGGTAAGTCACAGTGTATCCATATAATAGCTTATGCACCATTAAAATGACGTGGAAGACTAATGACATGAAGTATTTTTGAGCCATTGAGTGAAGAGCGGTCAGTTATTAAACAGTATATACTATTTAGTTCCTACATATTCTGAACTTATTTTATACATCCAGCCAACTCTGTTCTGTGGCCACCATGGTCCCCGATATCACTGTACCTCCAAACACGTCCTGAGTGGTCTGCACTCACTTTCTGCAGTGCAGTATGTTCTAATGTCTGTCAGTCAAATTTTTTTGTAAAATCATGAATAAAAGACTAGAAGGATAGTTATATAAGAAGTTATATAAGAAATTTCATATCATTAAGTATCTAAATTTTCTACAATGGAGGCATTGTACCAAAATGAGGGGGGAAAAGTTAATTTTAAAGAAAAGTACCAATTCTAGGCTTTTCCTCTCTCTGAAAGCTTGCTGTAACAGCTGCTCCCTGGCTGGGTCAGGTGCCCATCCTCTGTTCTCGTGGTACTGCCCCTGCACAACTCATGACTGCCCTCACTGCATTACATTCTGAGTATACAGTTGTGTCATCTCACAGAGTGGGAATTCTTTAGGATGGGGAAGTACTCAGTGTGTCTCTGTGGCCTCGTTGTGCCTGGATATCTAAGTTCAGTCTATACCATCCATACCAATATATATGCTCAATATGTACATTTGAATAACAATATATTTTAAAATATTGCCCAAGAAACAACAAGAAAAAAAATATTGTCCATAGTGCTGTTGGTGTTGATCATGTGTTAAGAGATTTTAAAATGTGTGCTGTTATATTAATAAAACATTCTCTGGGGCAGCAGAAAAGGCTTTACTTCTGGTGAATCTGACTTCCATGCCAAGAGTTGCCCAGTTCTTCTCAACAGTCACCATGTTGAAGGCATAGCCATTCTTTTTTTTTTTTTTTACACTTTTTTTAGCCTCACCAAAGGACATGCTTATTGATTTTAGAGAGCGGGGAAGAGAGGGAGACAGAGGGAGGGAAACATCAGTGTGAGAAAGAAACATCGATTGGTTGCCTTTCATACCCCTGACTAGAGACCAAACCTACAACCCAGGCATGGGAATCGAACCCACAACCTTTCAGTTTACAGGATGGTGCTCCAACCAACTGAGCCACACCAGCCAGGGCTGCACTACATTCTTAAGGTGGCAGTTAGTGCAGTTGTAGGCTTGAAGTTCCTGCCCAAATAACCATCCCCATGAGGCTATATTTGGCCAGTGTAACTGTATTCAATGATGGCAAATATCACAATGGCTCATTGAGGAAAATTATGGGCATTTAAAGATGCACCCAGCATCTTATATTGTGATGTTAACCATTTGATCACAAATAGCTAATTATTGCCTTGACTCAATGTGTAATTTTCCCATTTTTCAATTACTAATTTGGGCCTATTTTACCACTTTGACTTCTGAGTTTCAAATTGTTAGGACAAATGATAATAATTATCATTGGGCTTTCTGACAAAGCTATAAAATACCAAAATATGTTATGATTTAAAACATATGTAGTATTTACCTGTACAATTAAAATTCTTTCTCTGAGTTCTCTTCTTTATTTCCTCATTGCTAAGACACAGTTTTTTTTCTCACATTTTAATATTTTGTAGAACATACTGCATCTTATAATCAGCAATGTATAAGAATATATCAAATTGTTTTATAAGCAATAGTATCCTAGAATTGAAAGCACAGTGGATATTACTATATTAATTTTACTGATTATTACTAGTTTACTGAATGTTACTAATTACATAAATTAACTAGATGTTGAAATCAATTCTACTCTAAAAGAATACCTGTAAGTAAATTTTAAAATAAGAGAAAATTTAATAATGGAAGTATGTCGTCTTTATATGCAGTTTAGAGTTGCACCTGATGTAATGGCACAGGGCTGTTCTGATCCTCTGGCTGTGCTAGTAAACGGGCCGGCGCTTGTGTCCTTGCAGGTCATGAACGTCCACAGCAGCCGGACTCTTGATGTCCAGTTCCTGGACACCGGCACCGTGACGTCCGTGAAAATATCGGAGCTCAGGGAGATCCCCTCTCGGTTTCTACAGGAAGTGATCGCAATCCCGTCTCAGGTACTGTGTGCTGGAGAGACCGGAATGCGTGCGTAGTCGTGTGCCAGGTGCCCTCTCCGCTGTGAGCCTGCTGACGACCAGAGCCTGCGCGTGTCTCTGATGGGAAATGCCTCGAACGTGGTGGTTCGCTGGGGGTCAGGTGGTCGTCCGGCTCAGCTGGCGTAGGCGAGCCAGTCAGACTTACGGACGGACGCTGTTGGATGAATGTGTGTGTGTGTAAGTATGTCCGGTTGTTAGGTTACATTGTCCGGTTAGAGGTTCTGTTGATATTTTAATATGATACAATTGGTGCTGACTTCTACTCAGCTTCAGGGTATTGTGTGTCAATAGTTACCCCCAGAGTTCCCAGTTTAATTAGGTAACCATTCTCTTTCGAAATCTGTTTATATTTAATCATTTTCTTATATGATGTTACCCTCATAGATTTTAGTAAAAAGATTAACTTCAGCCTGTCTGTCCCTCCTCTATTGGTAAAAATTTGTAAGAATTTTAAATTATCTTGAGTTAAGTAAAATTGTTAAGAACTATTTCCCACCTTTGGGAGAAGTAGAGGATTTTGTATAGAAATTAATCATTTGTTGAAAGTAAAATTGACATTCTGTAATTTTAAACGGCTTCTTGTATATTTTAGAAGATACATTGTGCCATGAAAACGCAATGAATGAAAAGCATGTGGCCACACTTAGCACGACTTTCTCAGTTTCTCTCACTGCAGCTGCCGCTGCCCTTTCTAAGGTGTGACTGTTACAGAGAAGCTGCCCAACTCATCATCAAGCCAGTTTTCCGAATCACTTACGTTGTTGCTCAGCCATAATGCTGAAAATTGTTAGGCCTTCAGGCGCTCCTTTCACCTTATAGCACCTCTGGCTTCTGCACCCCTTGTTAGGTAAACATCCACCGGGGCCGGCCTTCTAGAAAAGCCCCCAGCTAGAAGGGGAGGGGGTGAGGGACCCCATCCCACTGGTTCTGAGTGTCTGAAAGTCACACAATACACTTTCTTGGAGCTACAGCATTAAAAGCCATGACAAATTTTTTATATTAATCTTATCTAGATTCATTGTTGAACGGTTACAAAGCTGGGGGAACTTTAAAAGCCAGCAAGGCCAAGCCTCTAACAGCCTCTCCCCAAGAGGCCGCAGTCAGAGCTGCAAGGTGACGGCCTGCTGGCCAAAGCTGACCCCGGAATATCGAGTTTGGGCTCTTGGCTCTTGCAGTGTTTTAAAATGTGAATCAGTTGCCGGGATTTAAAAATCAGATAATTTCACACAAAAATCCCCACTTCTAGCTTCTCTTGACAAAGTAGACAGTGTGACAGCACCGAGTGTTCTCCTTTACGGGGCGGCACTTGTGGGAGCTGGGGAGGCGGCCTTCCCTGTGCAGGGCCTGCCGGCCAGTGTGCTGGCCCCCTCAGGCCGCCTCCCTCCCTCATCACCATAGAGCGTGTGACCTCGTCCAGGGGGCACAGGGAGAGACCGGGAGCCCCCCACGGAGGAGGGCATGACAGGGAGGATGGGGCTCAGAGAGGAACGAAGGAACCCAGGGATCCTGGAAGTAGGTTTCGTTCCCTTCACAGAATTGCCTCCATCGGTTCAAAGGTTTCTGTGAGACTGAAGGGGGTCCCTGAGGTCACCGGTGACTCCCTGATGCAGCCACTCTGCAAAAGCTTGTGCCGTGATGGTGGCAGGCAAAGAGCACTGGGGAAAACGAGTGAAATCTATGGATTTCACTTTTTTCTTAATTCTCGTTACGACCTCCCTCCAAAGGCGAGCACCAATGCTGGCACCCACAAGGTCCTCAGGAAATGCTGGGTGGAGCACACAAGCCTCTGAAGAGGTTTCTGCAACAGGAGTCAGTTTTTATCCAAATGACACTTTTTTTTTCCAGTTAGGTTTAGACAGAAGACCTAGACGTAAATCCCAATGCTCTCTTTTCAGTTGTGTGATCTGATAGTGTCTCCCCGGGCCCGTTTCGCCATCTGTAAAGTGGTGCTGCCACCCTGCCCATCAAGCAGAAGTGCTGTAGGGTGAGAAGTGCATGGAATGCCTGGGGTAAGCCTCGGCTTGTAATAGGAGTGAAGAGGATAATGGTAATATAAATAGAGCCAGGAACAAAGCGGATGCTTCAGCCTGAGTGCTGATTGTCATCATTAGCTGTGGCTTGCTCTCTATGTTGGCAGCATCTGACTTGCAGGAAAATCATATTGACGTTACTCATAAGTACCTATTTTAAGGTAGTGTGTTGACTTTCCCACCGTGTTTTCTTTTCAGGCTATCAAGTGCTGCTTAGCAGACATCCCACAATCTATGGGCATGTGGACGCCAGATGCCGTGCTGTGGTTACGAGATTCTGTTTTGAATTGCTCAGACTGTAGTATCAAGGTTAGTTATCTCACTGGCCTTGATACATTTCAAAAGGGAACTGTCAGCAAGAGGGTCTCATCTGGTTTTTGTAAAAGAATTATATCGAATTTTATCTTACTGTAACCTAATACTTTCACATCTGACACACTTTTATAATTAGGACATTGGTTACATATATGGTGAGAAGAGATTTCATTGTTTAATTTTAAGAATTTACTCTGTATATTCAGCACTATTTTTAAATCCTTTATATAATTTTCCCATTATTATTAAGGTAGCAGACATGGTTCTCTGCACCTGTTTTACAGTATAATAAGGAATTACAGTAAGTACCCAACAGAGGAGCCCCCTCAGATCTCTTGATATGTGTTATTAAAAACCATGTAAGTCCTCTATTTCTTTTTTCTAAAGTACAATAGATTATAAACAAATTATTTGCTTATAACCTTGGTTTTTGCCTTTTTTTCCTAAAGATTCCGTAAACTGCTTTATTTGTTTAACTGGCTGGTTTTGTCTGTACTTCCACATCTTCACGTCACACGCATGGCCCGTGTTTCCACGAATAGAAATGTAAAGTGGTATTTCTCTGTTTTAACAGATGCAAATAGTGTTGTCATTTTGTATGGAAATTTAACAGTGGAATGTCCTTGATATATCTTCATGAAGATCTCTGAGTTATTCCAGCTCTCACTGATTTTCCTGTCTTCATACTCCTCTTGGATTTATAATGTGCAGTCCACACTTAATTACGTACCATTTTATACTCTTTAATTGATGCATGATAATGAATATTACTTTCTCAGCTACTTTTTCAGCTCCTAAAACCAGGGCATCTTAATGGCTGCTTATTGAAATGACGTTTGTATATCATAAATCAAGATGAATTAGCAGTCAGTACATCATTAGCACTTCAAATGATAAATTTAAATAAATTCATCTTTCTAGGAAAAAAAAATTTTAAGTAAATTACTGTGGAAGGATTGCCTTGCAGGTGTCTTCCTTTCTTCATGCCCGTGTCTCTGCCTTTCATTTCTAGCCCAATGTGATAAAAAATAGATGTGGCTAGAAGTACCTCATTTTTGTCGTTTCTAAGATAAACCAGAGGAGCTGATGAGAAGAATTAACCGTCCCCCAGCCCTTGGGGACACACAGCATTCCAGGCCCAGTTTTTAACAGGTGGTGTTCTCGTGCAGACACTCACCTCTCTGACAGAGAGAGGGAGCTAGGTGGTCAAAGGTCTCCTGGGCAAAAGGTGCAAAACTGCGGTTTCAGCCTGGAGCTTGCTTCCTCTTTCACTCCCAAGATCCCTCTTCTCCCTCGTAACTGGGGGAGGGGGGAAAGGGTGAGGGCCCATATTAGGACCAAATAAGGAATGTGGACCAGAGGGTCCTGGAGGGTACAGTGGATGTCAAAGCTTTTTCCTCCCTCCTGGTCTGAGAGCACACCAGCCTTAAGCAGAATGCTTATAGAACATTTTGCCATTGTCGTGATTATTTGCTATTGTTGAAGTTGGATGGGTGACAAGCACATGAAGATTCATCATACTATTCTTTCTATTTTGAGTATTTAAAATGTCATTAATAAATAACATTTTTAATCATGACATATAGAATCACTTCCTCTCAGTGATAATGACCCCTAGCAGGTTATAAGGTACTCTCAGAGATTTTAGAAATCAGTACATTTCCACTCACATGAGCTTGCTGCTGGTCTCTAGACTGCTTAGCAGCTCATTCACTGCTAGCGTGATTGACAATCCATCTGACCTTAAATAAAATAACTTTAGGTTGGGGTTTTGGGGTTTTTTTTGCAAAATACTGTTTTAATATTTAACATTAATATTATAACCACCTCTCAGAATTTAATATTAATTTGGATTTCTTGAATTGGTGTTTCTTGTTTTCCAAAGGTTACAAAAGTGGATGAAACCAGAGGGATCGCGCACGTTTATTTATTTACTCCTAAGAACTTCCCGGATCCTCACCGCAGCATTAACCGTCAGATTACGAATGCAGACCTGTGGAAGCATCAGAAGGATGTGTTTCTGAGTGCCATATCCAGTGGAGCTGGCTCTCCCAACAGCAGAGGTGGCAACACCCGCGTCTCTAACAGCGCTGAAGAGAATGTCAGAAAGGGCCTCACGGACGGCATCAAAAAGCCCGTGGCGGATCCCACCTGCTCCGTCTCCATGGAGGAACTGCCGCCCCCTGTCCACCTGCCAAAGCCAGGGGAATACATGGACGTGTATGTGCCCGTGGCCTGCCACCCTGGCTACTTCGTCATCCAGCCGTGGCAGGAGATACATAAGCTGGAAGTGCTGATGGAAGAGATGATTCTGTATTACAGTGTGTCTAAGGAGCGCTACGTGACCGTGGAGAAAGACCAGGTGTACGCTGCCAAAGTGGAAAACAAGTAGGTCCTTGGGCAAAGCGTTTTATCCTACTCCTAGGAAGAGTGTGTGGCGGGACACCCAGAGTCCTTCATCCCTGCAGGGGGGCATTGAACTACACAAATGGGAATTTTGAATGTGAAGTGAGACTAATAAACTATGCCGTTTTCTAATATTTAAAATTATGTCATTTATTTAAAAATCTAGTGACCATATTCCTGTTAAAACCTAATCATACCTGAGGTGAAGGTTTGAATGTTGTTTTCTGCTTTTCTATTAGAAAACAATATTTGTTAAATTTAGAAAATAATGTTTTTAATTTAATAACCTTTTAATTTTAAAACTGATTTTTATTTTAGAAAATTTTAAAAATACAAAAAAGTACACAAAATTAAAATCAGCCAACCAGACTTCACCCTTGTGCACATCTCTGATTATTTATGGGATAGATTTGTAAAAGAGAAAACACCTGTTTGCTTAAAGATTCCTCATATACACTGTCAGTCGCTTCCTAGGGAGCCTGCACCACCTTTATGAGGTGCGGCAATGCCTGTTTCACTGGCTTTGGCCTTCGGACAGTGAGAACTGTCATTCCCTGTACTTGCTTAGTGCTTCTGTGGGTATTCTCACATTTGCACATTTGGGTCCACCCGCTCCTTTCCTGAGGTACTCGCTGGTTTCAACTCAGTGAAGCCCAAGCACTGCCCTCTGCACTCTGCTCTCCGGCCACAGAAACAGCTGGAAAACAGCACAGCTGTCCCTTGTCCTGTCCCCTTGGACAGCTTCCTTAGGGGAAATGACCAAACCTCTTTGATGATGCTGAAAACGAGGGACTGTCTCTCCTCCACCCAAGAACACACACAAACACACATGCCCAAGACAGCTCTAAAGGTCAGACTGCTTATTTTTCCTATGAAATGCTTTTGTCCTTTATAATAGCAAGTATAGGCATTTAGAAAATTCTGTTATTTTTGTGAAAGAAGAAAATCCAATTTTTAACTCTTGAAAGTGAAAAGTGTAGCAGCTATCATTCTGAAAAGCATTCAACTTACATGTTACAAGGTTTTCATCTTTAAAAAAACATTTTTACTGTGTCAAGTTAGTTATAATCATAGCATGAACGGGTTTAATTCAGTACAGGAACATTATTGGTGTTAATTTGCCCTCATGACAATTCTTTGTAGGCTAATTTAATCACAGGTAAACTGCTGTTACCTGTTATCTGAGGAGCAGATTAGAGATAATTAGTGGGGACAGGTGGGTCCTATTTGGAGGCAGGAGCTGTGTGGGGGAGGAAACGTAAACTGGAGCCTACAGAGGGGACTGCAGACTCCGCCCCCCGCCCCGCCCCCACCGCGTGTGTCCAGAGGTTCTGCCCCAGGACTCTTGCTTGGCTCCAACCAGTTAATTTGTCCCTAGGTAAGCAAGGGATGTCTTACAGACAAGAACGGATTACCTTTAAAAACTTTATGAACTGAATCAATGCAAAATGTCTAGAGTTTCTATCTTGCTTACAATCTTGCTTACAAGGTTTACTAAACCTTGTTCCCAACTACGGTAAGTTAAGACATAGGAATTGTGAATAGATTTTTTTTTATTACAGGGCTTTCCAAATTTATCTTAGTAAGAATAACCTGGAAAACCTATTAAAAGTGGAGATTCTCCTTTCTGACCCCAGAGACCCTGAATCAAAATCTCTGGGGGGTGGAACTCTGGAATCTGTGTTTTAACAGATTCTCCAGGTGATTCACAAGCAGCCTTGCACCAAAATTGGAAATGTAGCCGTGAGTTTAGAACTTGAAAGCTAAGTAGAAGCACAACACGAGAGTCCTCCCATGGCCCTCTGCTCACTGCTCTGTGCCTCTCATTCACAGACTGAGAGCACAGACCACCGTAATTTCCCCGGTACGATGTAAAGACATTGCTATTGGTGGAAACCAAATGTTTTCATGTCTTTTTGCACTTAAATAAATTAGCAACATGTACCAAACTGGCATTTCCACATATGAAAGATTCTCTTTAATTTGGCCTGAAGTTCTTATATTTACACAGTTTAGCTTTTTTTTTTTTAATTTTCATGACTCTTTTTTTTTAAGATTATTTATTTATTTATGTATTTATTTTTAGAGAGGGAAGGAAGGGAGAAAGAGAGAGAGAAAAACATCAATGTGCTATTGCTGGGGGCTGTGGCCAGCAACCCAGGCATGTGCCCGGACTGGGAATCGAACCTGAGACACTTTGGTTCGCAGCCTGTGCTCAATCCACTGAGCTATACCAGCCAGGGCTACAGCTTAGCTTTTTTAAATAATGATTATAATATTAATAATGGCCACCATTTGCCAAGTGCCTAAAGGCAAGGCACTTTGTATATATTATTTCTGCAAATGAATTAAAATTAAGTACTACCTCCGAGATAACAGGCTCAGAATAGATAAAGAATGCTGGGTATGCAGCTGGAAAATGGCCTAGCTCTGGTGGGACTCCAGCACAGGAGTTTGACCCCCAAAGCACTCATGTACTTATTATGATGCCTCTTTTTGCGTCTATGTTGTCTCTGCAACTCATGGGCTTTTGCTTGCTGCCCTTTGACCTTACCTGAAGGTTTCTGGAGTTTCCCGCAGAAGCCCCCAATCACATACAGTGTTGAAGCTGGCCTGTCTGTAGCCTTCTTACTGTAACTCACCCTGTAACAGCTGCGTAGGTTTCCTGTAGCCATTCTCCACTGTGTGTGCACTGGCGGGGGAATGGGTCCAGTCTGCCTAGCCGAGCCGGCCCGGCAGTGTGTTGCAGCCAAGGGCCTGCTGTTCCTCTGGGCTTGGCCCTGACACACCTGTTTCCCCAGGCGCCCAGGTCCGCCTCCTGAGGCAGAGCCCAACTCAGAGCATTCGGGAGCAGAGACCGCCTCCGGAGACACTCTGCTTTCAGACATTGTGAACAGTCAAGACTGTAGGACTCGAGAATGGCCCTTCATTCTTGAACTCCGAAGTCTGGGTTTTCTCATTTTAATGATGGAGACACAGAGGGGAAAAGACATGTGTGTGAATTTCTGGCACCTTGGAGTTTGGATCTTCCTCCACGCTCTCTTACCCTTTCCAGGTTCTTTAAGTGGTGGGTTAGATTTTTTGTTTTATGTTTTTTTATGTTGTTACTTGACATAATTACAAATGCCAACTTTACATTCCTTTTTGTAATCTCTCCCCAGCCTCCCTTCCCCGTCTGACTTTCTCTTCCGTTCCTCCCCACACCCCCCTCCCCGCTACGCGGTGGTGTCTGCTCCACTCCAGACCACCTGCCCCGTGGGGCTTCTGTGCTTTCCTTCTCACGTGTGCCTTCGGCCTGGCCCGGTACCGCTTGCCTCCCTCTTCCTGTCTTTCACACACGTACTTGTCCCACACGTGTGGTGGTCCCTGTCCCGCCAGCGGAGTGAAGGGGCCCATGAGCCTCGTCCTGATCCTCCTGCGTGACGTTTCTTTCACTCTCCTTGAGCTCCACAAGGCCTGAAAGAGGTGCCCGAGTGAGCAAACTCCCTCGCGTGAGCCAGTGTACAACAGTAACCCTTTAGGAAAAGAAGCAGCAATCTCTTCAGAAACTTCTGGTAGTAGAGTTTCAGACTTGGATAAACAACATTCTCATTAATTTTTCTTTTTATCATAAAATAATATCCTCGAGGCAGGCGTTGACCTTGTGTTTCTTCTTCCCTTTCAATCCTTGGCACATCTAGGTGGCACAGGGTGCTTTTGAAGGGGATCCTGACCAACGGGCTGGCCTCGGTGTACGAGCTGGACTACGGCAAGCATGAGCTGGTCAACGTGCAGAAAGTGCAGCCCCTAGTGGACGTGTTCCGGAAGCTGCCGTTCCAAGCAGTGCCAGCTCAGCTGGCAGGTAATTCCTGAGGAATCTGAGCTCACTCCCCAACACTCTTTATATTGTCACATTATCCTGGGTACGTAGGGAGGACAGAATCATTGGCCTGTGGAGGCGATTTTTTTTTTTTCACAAAAAAATGGTCTTCCTGACCAAGAAGGAAATAATTTTTCATGCTCTCACAGTCGTCATGCCCTCCAGCTCTACCCACTGTTTCTGCTTTTCCACACTCCCTGCTAGCTCTGGTTTCAGGGATACATTTATTTCCAAAGCTGTAATCTCAGGACAGGTATGGTAATGCAGCCTGCTGTTTTCGGGTAGCGTTTCCCCCTATTTTGGGGGGTGTTTTGATAATGATTTTTTAAAGATTATTTATTTATTTATTTGTTTGTTTGTTTATTTATTTATTTTTAGAGAGGGAAGGGAGGGAGAAAGAGAGAGAGAGAAACATCAGTGTGCGGTTGCTGGGGGCCGTGGCCTGCAACCCAGGCATGTACCCTGACTGGGAATCAAACCTGCGGCGCTCAATCCACTGAGCTATGCCAGCCAGGGCGTGATAATGATTTTTTAATAGCTACAAACTATTCTGTTTGATCAGTATTTCCCTATTGTTGCCTGTTTAGGTTGTTTATACTTTGACTGTAGCATTAAGAAACAACCTTGCCACTGTGTATATGAGCCAAAACAAATGAAAACAGTGAAACAACCTGAATAACCAATGGGAGGAGAACACTGCACAGTTAAATATTTCATAATTTACTGCATAAGTTATAAAGCATCTACATAATGGATTCCTACAGTTATAAAACATTTCTGGGTCTAGAATATGACCGCTGTTGTGGCCAAGGGAGTCTCCAGTTGCGTTGCAGCCCACTGCACGCACGTGTGTGGTCTCACCAATCCACACGAGCCTGCTGACTGCCATTAAAATCTAAGGAGCTAACTCAATAGGTGTACAGCGGTACTGATTTGTGGTATCGTGTAATGAGGTTTCTGTCTTGTCTTTTGTGAAAGCGGTCCAGGGGTTTGTGGTTCCTCTGTGTGTACTCTACCCGGAGGTAGATGAAGCTCCACCTAGAGGCCTGTCAGCATCCACGGAGGTCGTGGGGGCTGAGGGGCCGAGGGGACAGACAGACACTCAGGCCGGCCGGGGCCCTCTCTGCCCCGCTGTGCTGGGGCACGGGGGCTGTGGGCCCGTGATGCCGCACTGACTCCCGCCCCACTTACCACGCCCACCGAGCACAGTGGCAGAAGTGACATGATCTCAGCAATGGAAGCAACTCTATATATAGATTATTCTTGTAGTTATTGACCAACTTTCATTAGAGAGAGATATTTTGCCTTGTTTTTGAAGTGTTTGCTGATTTCTTTGTGTCTACTAGAATTCAGAGGACACTCCCACTGTAGTTGGACATAAACCAAAAATGTCACTTCACACATGGCTGGCTACCATTGATCTGCTTTGAACTCAAACCTCTAAATGGTTTCCTCAGATTTTATAGTTACATGTTTTTCATTTTTACTTGTTAGGGTTTGTATTTTGTTAACAACTGGTGGTGTTAAACGTGACAATTGAACTGCCCAGCGAAGGGGTCTCTGTGGAGCACGAAGCACCGTGGCTGCAGCTTCTGGTGCCTGCTGAGTGCGAGGGGCTCTCCCAGCTGTGCCACTTGTTGCAGTTCTCCCGCAGCAGGAGGGTTGGGTTCTGGAAGTGTTGGGAAACAGCAGCTTAGGAACTATTCTAGGCCTCTCTTGCGGAAAATGCTTAATAATCAGAGTTTAGCCCACCCACTATATTGACAGCAGGTCGTTTTAAATTATATGTGAAACTCCCAGGCCTTTACCACTATGGGGCATACGTTATAGTTTATCTAATTTAGTATATGTGGTCTTCACTTGTTAGTTTAATAGTATTTCTTGGAAAATACATATTGTCTCAATTTTGTTTTAAAATCTGATTTAAAATTCTCTAAATTGAGCTCTCGAGTTTAAAAGTTAGAAATGCATGGGACCTGGAATTCATCTGGCCCAGCCAGTTTATTCTATAGGTAAACCAAGGCCCAAGAAACAGACCGATGCGCCTGAGACCAGCCCACTCGACAAGAACGAGCTGGAATTGTGACTGCATCTCCAGGCGTTCAGTCCAGGGCTTTGGCCATGACTTTGTATATCCTGATTTTGAAAAATTATATATTAATCTTTTTTACTATATTTGCTTCATCAGAAAAAAATCTACAAGTAAGAAAAATGTCATTGATATTTTATTCCCTCTATTTATCTCCGTTATCAGTTTAAATCTGCATGTATTTTATATAGGGAAATGGGCAGTAGTTACAGAACTTCATTTTATGTAGCATTAAATCTCACAACTGTGTCTGTAGGTAAAGGTTGACAGAGGTAACCCCATTTAGAATAGAACAACTGTAAGCTGGACTGCTTCCAGATCGTCCCGCCACTGTTTCTCAGTTAGGCAAGTCTAACCTTGTGTGTTTAGACCACTGTGGAATCGACTAAGTAGTCTTCCACCATTAAGGATCAAAGACAGGCTCGTTTGACCCCTCCCTGCTCTGCTCTTCCTCCTAGGAGTAAAGTGCAGCCAGTGGTCCGAAGAGGCTTCGATGGTGTTTCGAAATCATGTGGAGAAGAAACCTCTGGTGGCGCTGGTGCAGACGGTTACAGAAAATGCTAACCCTTGGGACCAGAAAGTAGTGGTCTATTTAGTGGACACCTCGTTGCCGGACACGGATGTCTGGATTCATGATTTTATGTCAGAATATCTGGTAGAGCTTTCAAAAGTTAAATAACCACTGCTTTTGAGACCTCGACAACTAATTCAGATTTTCTAGCAATAACAAAATGTAGTAGGCTTAAAAAAAACCTTATCTCTGCTACATGGCTCTGACTGCTGTGGGGACTAAAAAGAGTATGTTATGGTTGATGAAAAATATTTATAAGTTGTGTTTAACAGAGTTGACTTTTCCAGGAGAATCGTACTTGAATTATTACTATAACATTAGAATAAACATGTTTATCAATGTAAAAACCGGCTGCCTCATCATTTCTAGGCTTTGAAGACGATGATCTGAAGACGAAGAGTTTCCCTCTCTGTTCATGCTGTCTTCCTTGTGGTGCTGGGTTCTTTTCCGGGTAGACCGAGCATTTCATGACTTAACTCCACCCTGGTGTGTAGTGCTGTGTCCCAGAGTCGCCAGACCGTGGGGAGACTATCCCGAGCCTTTAGCACATCGGCATTGCTGGTGGTGCTGCGGGGGAGCAGCCAGGCAGACCAACGTGCCTCTCCCCCGAAATCTTGAGCGGCTTCTCACTGCCCAGGGAATCGAGACTGAAGGCCCAGGCCTTCTGCAGCCTCCCCGCTGAACCTCATTGTCCAGCATTCCCTCTACCGGGCACACTGGCCCTTTATCCAGTCCCTGAACGCCACGCACATGCATCCAGGATTACTGGTATTCTCAAGGCATTGCTAGAGTTGGACAATTCCCAGATTGTAAATACTCCCTCCATTGCTGAGTCCCAGCTAACAGTGTGACATCACCGAATGTGGAGTTGGAAGGAGATGCGCCCAAGTGGCTCTCGCAAGCCTGCGCTGCAGACTCCAGTGCACCACTGTCTTCATCCTCCACAACAGGCACATATGATGGTGCGTTCTTGCTAATGGGTGGGCAGGATGAATTGACAGAGGGATACGGTGGAGGCCTTAGCAGAGGCCTAAAGATGAGGGAGGGAAACCCTAGACTAAGAGTGGAGCAATGGGACAAAAGAAAAAATATTAAAGGCTTTTTGAAGTTTTTGGTTAGAATTATTAGAATTTACACCTTGGATATAGAAGATAAGAAAAAGGAGGTATCACAGACTGATGCTGATAGTTCTGGCCAAGATGGAGGCGTAGGTGGATACACTTCATTTCTACACACAATCAAAAAAGAAGGGAATGACCAATTTAAAAACAAAAAAATAACCAGAATATCCAGGAAATCAAACTGTATGGAAGTCCAACAAGCAAGGAGTTGAAGGAGAAACATTCATCCAGACTGGTGCACCAAGACAAAGAGACATGGCCCAAATGAAAGAATAGATCAAAACCTCAAAGAAAGAACTAAGCCACAAGGAGACAGCCAACCTGTCGGATGCAGAGATCACACTGGTGATCAGGACACTCACAGAAGTGGTTGAGTATGGCCACAAAATTAAGGAAGAAGAGAAGGTTATACAAAATACTTGAAGTCATTTGCTTATTTTTGTGTGATAAAATTTAGGAAAAGTGAGAATACAAAGCAGTTAAGTACTAGATGTTTTTCATGTAAAAAGGTTAAAATTATCTTTCTAGCTTTTTAGAACTTATATTTAATATAATTAAAGTGACTCAAAATTCAGGAATGCTTATGGCAGTGATTTAAGTAATTATTAATGATAAAGAATGTTTGGAATAAATGTTTAAGTGAAATAAAGTAAATGTTTTTTTTACAATGTTTTCTTTTCCTAAAAAAATAAACAAAAATTTTGAATTGTCTACAGAGAAGGAAAAGTTCATTTCTGTTTTACTGACTTTAGAAGTATTTCCATTACTTTTTAAAATAAAGAAATTAATTATGCTGTTGATGTAACTGGAAAAACTAATCTAGTGCTAGCACATTCGACACACAAATGAAACCTGACCTCTACCTCACACCATATTCAAAAGTCAGTTCCAGGTGGATTGAAGTCCAAGCAGGAGAGGCTAATGCACTGTAGCAAGCTAAGACAGGAAAACACCTTATAACCGGGAGTAGGAGAAAAGTCTTGCATAGGACACACAGTGCTAACACTAAAGGAAAAGTTGAGAGACAAGACTGTATTAAAGTGAAGAACACTCGTTGAAAGACATTATTATGAAGGCAAAGCAGAGTGGAGGAATGTATTGGGTTGGCCAAAAAGTCTGCATGGTTTTTTTCATAAAATAAAAGATTTTCACCAATAATTTTATGGATTTGGATATTTGGAGTATGTCAGCTAACTCCTGTGCGGTATAACATTGATTGTTCTCAATGTCTCGATTTGATTGCTGTCAAATTCAACTGACCATAGCACCATCCAGCAAGAAATCTTCAGCACAAAACTTCGCAAGCCACTTTTGACATGTTTGATCAATCACAGCACCTTCTCCATACACTGCACAAATCTTTTTTTGTGTTTCAGTTGTGTTTTTACCTTTCTTGAAACAACAAAGCATAATATGCCAAAATGTTGCCTATTTTTAATAGCTTTGATATTAAAATGGCTACCCCCAAATACACCAATTTTGATAAATTTTTTAAATGCATGCTGATGTGACAGCTGCCATATAAAATCTAACAAAATTGTCTCAAATGACATTAAAGACAACTATGCACTATGAGAGCCATCTTACAGAAAAAAACCCAAATGAACATTTTGGCTAACCCAGTATATACTGTACAGTATTTACAGGTGTGAGTATGTGAAACCGATTTTATTGTATTATTATTTATTAACTATTGTATTACTTGCCATACAAACACCTTGTAAACCTACTTTCCCCTCACCTTGTATATATGTCGTGGGAAAATACACTGAATATTTCCAATAAAGACAAGACTATCCAGAAGCAAAATGGGCAATACATTTGAACTAGCATTTCACAAAAGAGAAAATCCAGCTACCCAATTAACACAAAAAGGTGCTCAACCCAGGAGAACATGGGTGTGCAAATTCAAACCTCAATGAGATACCGCAACTCATGTGCCAGAAATGGGGGAAATGTATCCATTTTTTGTTCAACTGTTGCTGATGTGCGCACTTACGCAGGAGGCTTCCAGTAAACAGTTCGCAGCAGCACTATTGTAATCGATAAACCCACAAACGACCTACATGTCCATGAGTAAGAGGGACGCTTAAAACCTGTGGTACACAATGGGAACCTCTACAGCCAGGAGAGGAAACTGTAGCCACACGAAACAGCACATTAATTTCACAACATAGAATTGAGCAAATGAAGACAAACGTGGAGAGAAGAGACACGCAAAGGAAACGATGCCCTTGGGAGCCAAGAACGTGACCATCTTTCCGAGGGCCCAAGCTGCCTTCTGGGCTCGCTGGCGATGTGTGTTCCTGCCCGAGTGCTGGTCACGCCCGACAGGTGTTCTCACGGACAGACATGCCTGAACCCGAGTACCTGCGATGTATGCACTTGAAGTTAGATTCCACAACAAATGGGTTTAAAGTTAAAATGTCTGAAATGTCAGACCATTTATTTTTAAACATTATGGTACCTACCCCTTGAAAAGAGTATTCTTTTACAGCTTTAAGGGTTTTGTAGTGTAGAAATACATTCTAGTGGAAAACAAGATTTTTTTTAAAAAAATGAGTGGTTCTCATTAGTAACTATACCCCGGAATTAAAAAGAGCTGATATTATTTATTCCTACTAGAAACTTCCCCATAATAATCCAGGGAGCTCTTGGCTTCTCTCCATACAAATAGTTTTTTATGAGCCATTTAAAAACTTAAAACACTTGAAGTTTGTTTGGGTTTAAGTGATTTGTTCTGGAAAACATATTATTAATCTTTTAAGAAAGTGGGACTTCTTCTGTTCTTTACGTCCTTATTGGACACCCCAGCCTCTCAACATAGAGACAGTGCCCCTCATCCTTACTAAAGCTTGGGTTACACCAGACCTCGCTGGGCTGCGGCTGGGACGGAGGGATCCTTGCTTTAATCACAGGAGGTAAGGGTGCAGCAGCTGCTGGGCTGGCTCGGCACCATCCGAGAACCTTCCCAACCCCTCCGGGATGATAGTCATTCGCCCACCATTTTCCAGGTAACTCTACCAGTGCTTAACTCCTCCAGGTGCAAGTGGGGAACCCGAGACTGGGGCGACCTGCACCCACTTGTCCGTAGCATCCAGCTTCTGAGTGGCCCGGCCCCTGCCCCTGCCCCGCGCAGCCCGCCGCGGGTGTCGCTCGCGGGCCGGCCGGGACCACGCGCTGAGCCCCGGCGCCCCCGAGCGGAGGGAGAGGGCGGCAGGCGGGGCGGGGCGCGGCTCGGTGACAGCGGGAGCCGGGCCCGCCCCTGGCTGCCACCCCCGGAGCCCACAGCGCCCGCCTGCCCGCGGCCACACAGGAGCTCGTCCAGCCCCAAGCTCCGCTCGCACGCCCGCCCGCGCCCGCGCCCGCGCCCGCCCCGCGGCTCCACGGCCCGGTAAGCCCCCCACCCGCCCAGGGGTCCCCCACGCGCTCGCGGGGCTCCCTGCCCCCGCGCTGGGGCGCCAGCCATATCTGGGCAAAATATTCAGCTGTCGCCGCCGCCGCCAAGAGGGACTGAGCGTGGCTCCCTCTATAAATAGCTGCCTCCCCGGGTTGCCTCCGGGCTCACGAGCCTGGGTGTCGGGGTTCGGAGCGCGACGCTCCGTCCGCATCGCTCGCCTTCGCTGGGCGCGTGTGGCTCCGGCCAGGGCCCCTCCTCTCTGGACCTCAGCGCCAGCCGCGTCTTTAACCGGAGAGAGGAGCTGCGCCGGGGCGGGGGCCGGGGGCCGGGCCGGGGCCTCCCCTGCGGGGCTCCAGAGTGGTGGCGCTCCGCGCCCGGCTGCCCCGCGGGGGTCAGGTGCCTGCCCGAGCCCGCACGGATACGAGGCCGCCCCTCCCTCTCCAAGAGTTCGGCGGTGGGAGTGGAGGCGTCCGTGCTTGGGCGGGAGAGGAACCAGGGTTCGGGCTGCGTCTGTTTGTGGAAGGAAAAGTTTCCCAAACTGCGGGAGATGAAGAGGTGTCAGGTGCCACGGTACATGGCTTTTGCGCGGAGGTGGAACCGGAAGGTGCCTGGAGACAGAAGCCTCCCGGTTGTTGCCAACTCACAGGGCGGCCTTGCCAAGCCGTCTTGCTTCTCTGAGACTCAGTTTCCCCGCGTGTAGGGCCGGAGTTTGTTCCCAGGATGAAGCCAGGAGCCAGAGCCTTGAGAGCAGCAGGGTACGCTCTTGACCACTGGCTGGCCTCCTACCTGTTCACCGGCTCCCAGCCCGGGACACTGGGGGCACCGCCGTGCATATCCGGAGGGGTTGCGGAAACCGGAGACTTTGGTGGTCCCTCTGACGGTGGGATTCTGGGACCTACCAGGACCCTTGGAATAGCCTGGGCCGTACCCTCACGGGAGGCGCGCCCCGCGGCAATTATGGTATCATGCCTGGTCGCAGCATCACTTTCGCAAAGCAGCCTGTGACTCAAACAGCCTTAGACCCAAAGAACTGGGCAGGGCCAGAGGCTCCAGTGCAGCTGCTCCCGGGCCTCTGCTTCTCCCAAACAATGATCATGATGTAGCCTTCGAGGAGTGCGGGCACACCCCACAATCCCTACCCTTTCTGCTACTCCCTACCCTGCACTCGGCCTCCACCTTTGCCCTCTCACACTCTGGACATGACCTGGCCCAGGCTTTTCTGCACCCCAATCACAGAGCCAGTGCCTAGCTCAAGTTCTGAGCCCTCAGCGGAAGCACCGCCAAACTCTCCAGCTAGAATTCTCCCAGTGGTGACAGCCATTTTGTTCTCCAGAAGGGCTGCAGAGCCCCCTGCTCAAGGTCACAGGCCGCTGGGAGCGCCAGGAGGTCTGCAGTCCGTACCAGCCTTTCTCATATCTTTCCTGACCCCTCCTGGTGCTGAGGCAGGTGTGAGGGGTTGGTGAGCCCCGGCCAGTGCCTCCACTTCTTTGACCCGCTGCTGTCCAGGACTCTCCCGTGCTCAGAGACCAGAGCACCTCATCCTGAAGTTTCATTTTGGTTTCTACTTTACTTTCTCTTATATATTTTTTCTAATGGCATCTCAAAGCCCCACGGATAGAACTAAGGGGAAACGGAGACAAATAGTAACGTTCTCATCGATTCCAGCCGCAAACAAACAGGCAGAGAGGGAAAGCAGAGGAACGCTGTGACTTCAGTGAATTAATTCTCTTTAACAAGCCAGCCTTTCAATTCTTTGTTTCAGACTCTCTTGGCCCTTGAGTTCCTCCCAACCTAAGTGGAAAGCCAGTGTCCTCTGAAAATAGCCTCCGCCCACCTTATCAGGGTCTCACACCTTCTCGCTCCTCCAGGGCAGGGCTGCTTCCCACAGCTCAGCAAAAGCACACACACAGGAGTCAGGAGGCAGCGGCAGCCCTGAGTGAGAACGGTGGGCTTGCCTGACCGGGAGGAGGTCAGGGCGCCTGGCTCCAGCTCCGGCTCTGCCACCCACTCAGAGTGACCGTGAGCAAGATGGTCTCTTGTGGCCCTGAAATCAAAAGGGCTTGGGGTTTCCTGGAAGACGTTCCAGCATGAGAAAAGTTCAGTGCCAGGAATAAAATCTGGGGGAGCCCACTCAGTGAAGAAGAGGGAAAGAGTGGGAGAAAGTGGCTTCCCAAGAGCCAGGGCAGGAGAGAGGCTGGCAGCGCCAGTTGCTGCATGAAGACAGAGGGGCTGAGGACTGTGGAGGGGCCACCAGGACTGGCAGGGCATCCTGGGTGACATTGGCCAGGGCATTGCAGAGGGTTCAAAACTAGGATTTGCTGCTGCCTCACTGGGGCCAGTGAGCGTCCCCCCCCCACCCCCCACACCACCGTCCATCTGAGCCTCAGTGTTTTCCTCTGTGCTTTGGGATAATAAAAGCACCCCTTTTGTAGGGGTTGCTGTGGGGATTAAGGGTGATGATGCGGGAAAAGCCCGCAGCCCTGAAATGATACTGTTAGTGTTACTGAGGGGAAGAGGCAGCAGCTAATGGGAGCTGAAGAAATGGAGACAGCCTGTGACTCGAAAAGCTTGGATGAGCAAGGAAGAGAGAGGGGAGGTATCAGGAAACGGAGACAGGGCACAGAGGTGGGGCGGGTGTTCCGGGGATGAGCTGTGTGGGCAGCGGCAGAGAAGGACGGGGAGAGGGGAAGAGGGTGAAGAGAGAGTCTGAGGCGGTGTGCATGGGAAGGCTGAGGACCTTCCTTAATATCCCGCTGAATGTCAACGGGCCCCAGAACCGCATTCCTCTAGAATCAGGCTGAGCAAAGAAAGGGTAAAACGAGGCCAGTCCCGGCTCAGATTTCTGTGTCCCCTTGGCAGACGTCAGTATCTGCAAAGGAGGCTGGTGATGGGCCACGAAGGGTAGTTTGGCTCTGCCCAGGGGCCTCGTGACCTTGGCTGGCTCACTGCTGAGATGACATCATCTATCGATGGCTCCTGCTGAGCCCAGCCGTAATGGCCCTTTCCAGTCAATGTTTGGACTTTCCGGTCTTGCTAATGGACTCGCCAGGCTGCCAGCGTTTCTAAAGAGGCTGGTTCACTTTCTGCGTAAAGCCAGAACACCAAACAGATCAATTATTTGGCTGCAAGGAGCCATTATCCGGTTAGAGCCACAAACCTGTTCTTAAGGAAAAACATGAATCAGATAGCATAACTCTGGGGCCATTTTCTCTCTTTTGTTGGGTTTTGTAAAATCCTCCTCTGTTAATTACTCTAGGACCTGACTCTCTTTGTTCTTGATGGCAATGAAAGAATGAACTCGTCGGGGTCGCCTAGGACACATCTGGGAGGTTTTCTTTGATGTTAGGAGGTGCTGGGTCCTTGTCTGGTCTAAAAAACTGAACTAATGTGAGCATTTCTTCTGTTCCTCCTTTTTTTTAACGTCCTCTTGTTTTTTTCCTCAAAGAAAAACAGATTTGTGAAAGGCTGGACGTGATGGTGTATGGGGAGGAAAGTGGGAAGGAGAGGGAGGCCAGAGGGAGTCTCTGTGCTTCTCAAGGTCCTGAGCCCAAGCCACTAGTCACCCGGGGACTCCTAGGGCGGTGACCACAGGGCCATTCCTGGAGACGATGCTGGTGGGTGGCGAGCTGTGGCCGCTGCGGTGTTCACTCTCCTTGCCCAAGGGAACAGGGGAAGCAGAAGTGCCCCGTGGCCTCGCTCAGCCTCCCTTCATGGACTTTTCTCTCCCGCCTGCGCTTGAACGCCGATGCCACCCTCAACCCCATTCTCTCTCACCCCCGCCCTCCTGCTATCCCACTCGCTCCTACTGCACCCAGCACCCCTACAAACTGACAACGCCCAGGTCCACGGGTCCAGGCAGGACCGCTCCCCTCCTGTGACTCCTGCCGATCGGACAACGCCAACAGCGCATCCCAAGGGCACTTCACAACCAACAGGCCCAGACTCAGGTTCTCCATCACCCAGTCCTCCTCTGGTGCCCTCCACCCTGGTCAACGGTAGCACCACTCACCCAGGCACCGGGCCAGAATGCCCCCTTCCCTTTGCCACCCCACTCATTTGGCCGGGAGTCCTGCCGGTCTACCTTCCATACTATCTCTTCGGTTCGTTCCCATCCCCACGCTCACCACCCCAATCCATTAGTTTGCTGTCTCTCTCCAGAGCTACTGTCAGAGCCTCTTTAAAGTCTGTCTGCCTCACGTCTTTTCTTCTGTGCTGCTGACCAAGGATCTTGGGGAGACATAGACGTGACTGTGTAGTTCCTCTCCCTCGAGGGACTCCCCATTTCCTACCAGACTCCTTAGCACTGAACACAAGGACCTTCAGAGACCTGTCCCCAAGCCACCTCTCCAGAACCATCTCTCAGCGCTCCCGTGGATTCCCGTCATGGGCAAGCAAGCATACACACCTCGGGCCCCTCTGCCTCTGCCCCTGCTGTGCCTTCCGCCTGGGATGCTGCTCTCTGGCTCTGAGCACGGTGCACGTGTAATTACCCTTTAAAGCAAAGCTCTCATTGCCTCACCTAAGCTCCCACTGCCCCCTGAATGGACACGGTTCGAGAAATGGCTTGGGCCTGCCTCTGCAAGGGTCAGGTCCCGCAGCAGTGGGTTATTTCCACCATCTTCTACCTTCCTTCTTTCTTTGCCTTCTGGAGAAATTTAGGTCCAGACAGGGCTTTACAGTCCAACGCCCACTTCCTGTCCAGCGTAGAACCTCCCCTGAGCACCAGCACTCCGGGCGCCTCGGTCCAGTTGCCTTTCTCCGTGCACACGGCCTATGACTCTGTGGGCAGGGGATGAGTGCCTGGCCCGTGCCGGGGTGGGAGCACCCCGGTGCCTGCCACTTCCTCCATGCAAACCCAGGGAGACTGAAAAAGTCAGACTGGCTGGCACCATTGCATGCATTTGTTTATGGTTTTCTACTGCATTCCTCTTACACCATTAAAAGGGGGTGAGATGGCTTTAAATAAACGTGCACAGGCAACTTAACTGGTAAAA